TCCAAAACATTCCTTCCAGTCCTTTCCCATCCATCCCTACCCCTCTCCCTGCCACCCAGGAAATCTCCACAAATTGCTTTCCACCGTAGATCAGTTTGGAGACAGGCTCTTTTTAGTTTTCTCCTTGCGGCTACTTTAACAGATCCCAATCAGGGTCCTCAGTCCAGGGATGCAATGTGGTCTATCTGCATTTTTTCCCTGCACAAGAAAGGCATGCACTTGTGCCTTCCAGTGCTGAAGATGACTGAATACTGTACTCACCAGGCTTAAATTGCTTTGAAGAAGATAATTTGAAAAGTCCTCCATTTAGGATTTTGTAAAAAGATTCAGGGCCAGTATAGTTCTTCATAAAAGACAGCCAGAAAGCTTACTGTGTATTTTACATATTGTATTATACTTCCTTAATTGACAAAGTCAGTGAAATAGAATTATGAAAACAAAACAAAACAAAACCCCCAAATCTGGGCCTGAATCACAAAATAAGCTGAAATGGCTGTTTTTGTTTTTTAATTATTATTATTTTGAACCCCAGGGGCACTGTACCACTGAGCTATATCCCCACCCTTTTATATTCTTTGAGACAAGGTCTTACTAAGTTGCTGAGGCTAACCTGGAACTTTTGATCCTCCTGCCTCAGTCTCCTCTGAGTAGTTGGGATTATAGATGTACGCCGCCACACTCCATATGTCTGTTCTTTTTTGTTTGTTTTTTGGGTACTGGGGATTGAACTCAGGGGCACACAACCACTGAGCCACATCCCCAGCCCTATTTTGTATTTTATTTAGAAATAGGGTTTCACTGAGTTGCTCAGTGCATTGTCATTGCTGAGGCTGGCTTTGAACACGCAATCCTCCTGTCTCAGCCTCCCGAGCTGCTGGATTACAGGCATACGCCACTGCACCTGGCGATACATCTGTATTTAAAGACACAAAACCACCACTTGAGCAAATTACTTTCTTCTTCAATATGTAAGTGACATTTAAAATATTTAGTTTGCATGACACATGCTGACCTGGTTATCCACCTCATGTGTAAGTGCTTGGACATATCCCTGGTTACACTGGAACTTGTGGCACAAACAAGGACTGCCTTTTTACTCCCACTCTAATATTTTCGCGCAGTGTGTGTGCATGCATGTGTGCATGTACATGTCTGTGTATTGGGGAGGTTCTTAGAAAGGTACATGTCAGTTGGATGTCCTGGCACATGCCTGTAATCCCAGCGCTTGGGAGGCCGAGGCAAGAGGATTCCAAGTTCAAAGCCAGCTTCAGCAACTTAGCGAGACCCTGTTTCAAAATAAAAAAGGAAAGGGTTGGGGATGTGGTTAAAAGCCCCTGGGTTCAATCCCTAATATCAATAAGCAAGCAAGCAAACAAACAAACAAAAAAAGAAAGAAAGAAAAGAAAGGTATATGTCAGCATAATAAGGACATGTATCACTATAGGTCCCAGGTGCTTACCCTAATTTGTCTTGTCCCAGGGATGGCTTTATAAATATTTAGAGTCACAATGAGGCATAAGCATAACCCTGCAGCACAACTGTGTCTACAATCACTGGAGAGGGTTAGAAAGCAGACTAGTGGGGCTTCTCTGCTGCCAACAACCACTCAAAGTCAGGAGGTGACACAAAGACACAGGTGCCAATTCTCAACAGGAACCAACCCCCCTCCTGTTTCACACTGAATAGAAAATGTTCCCATCTTTACTCCCTCATTAAGGCCCCTATGCCCTCACCTGAAACCAAGAAACAAGCAAAATTAAGAACCAGAGTCAACAGAGTCCACCTAAAGGCCAAGAGCTAACCAGATGCGGAGGGCAACACTAGAAAACACTAAGCTCTCGGGTCACAACCACTTGGAAATTTCATACAGATATCAGAGAACTGAAAAGTCTGCAAGGAGAGCTTGGATTCCAGGGAGGCTTCAAGGCTGGCTTTCTGGACACAGGAGGGGCCTGATCAGAGGGAAGGACAGTGTGGACAAGCAAAGAAGCAGCAAGCCTGCTGTGCAGGTAGGGAAGGTCAGAGAAACGAAACTTTTAAGACCAGACATGTCTCAATCTAATAAGTACTAAACAAAACTAATTAGATAAAACCCTACCCTCATAAATCATTTCACTGTGCTAGCTCACGGATCCCCTCTGGGAGGAAAAACAAAGCCTTTTCTGTCAGTTTTAAAGGAACCAGATCCCTTCCAGCAATACAACAATAGATTCTAAAGTCACATATCCCCGCAAAAGCAAAGAAACAGTGGTGTTTAATCTCAGGAGTTAAAAACTCTTTTCTTTTAGTTACCCTATAAGGCCTCCTAACCCAGCTTTATTTTTCTTGATAGCATTTTATCACCACCTGAAATTTTAAATATCTGTTTAGTTACACATTCCCTATCACCAGCCAACTGCACACGCGTGCACTCATGCACAGGAATTCCTGCCTGCTCTTCAGGAGAGCACAGCCTTGAGATTGTCACAGCTCTTAACGTCTGTGGTAGGGCCTGCCAGGACCCAGGACAGGCTTACCAACATTTCCTGAATGAATGAAAAAGATTTCTCCACGTGTTAGATCACACCAAATACAGCAGTGCTTATAAATTGTGCTTTAATTTCTGCAATCAGATATGATGCAGTGAGATACAAGTATAAACTTTCATTGTGCATTCAGAAAATAAAAAGCACATTTATACAGATTTAGCCTAACAGCTTATTCCTTTAAAAAAAAAAAAAAAACCAACTTTGACTTTCATTAAAGCTAGTTTATCTTCAGTGTAAAAACCTGGAGGTATAAACAAAGTTGAGACATTACATATAGTGAATTATTAATGTACAATTCCAAACTTGCACAGTGCAGCATTTTAAACAAAGTAAATGGTCTCATTTCAGCTTTTACTATTAAGCATGATCCACATCTAAACCTTGAATATAAATTTCACAATATATAAACCCACTGAGAATTCTGTACACAAATACAAGTTATAGAAATTGATTTCAAATATAAATACATAAATCATCATGACCTTACATGTTATAACAGCTTGCTTGTCTACTTATTTTTCTATTGTAATTTTAAAAAATTATAGAAAAATATTTCGATGCACATTCAACTGCTATGACAAGGGCCATGACCTTGTGCCTTTAAACCATACTTCGTGGAGTATAAAGCATCACACCACGCATTTTTGGAATGAAAATTACTAAGACTGAATAGGTGACTATAAATATTCATGTTATAATATGGTAACAAAAATAGTTAGCTCCATAGTGTAGCTGGGAGGCAATGGTGCAGATAAGTGAGTGGAGGTTAGTGCTGGTTTAAAAAGGCCCACAGAACAAATGTAAAGGTAGCTAAGGAAATAAGGTATTTTAAAAATCCCTACTGCAAGCCTAACACTGACCTCATTCACAAGACTTTTTTTTGGGTACTAGGGATTGAACCTAGTGGTGCTTTCCCACTGAGCCACATCCCCAGCCCTTTTTATTTTTTATTTTGAGACAGGGTCTCACTAAGTTGCTTAGGGCCTTGCTAAATTGTTGAGTCTGGCTTTGAACTTGAATCCTCCTGCTTCAGCCTCCCAAGTTGCTGGGATTACAGGCGTGCACCACCATGCCCGGCTCATTCACAAGACTCTTAAGGCAACCAAGACTGCATGTGTGTTTGGCCCCCAGATGAACAGATGTCGCCCTACCCTCCACCTGTCATCTTAACAGACCAACCTGGCTTATGCATTAAGGTGAAATGGGCAAAATGATTGTATGTACAGAAAATGATTCAGTGCAAATTAGAAACTTCTCTTTATCAATAGTTTCAAATTTTCTTATTGCCCTTGAGCAACTGTAAGTTTTCTCTAAACATCTAACATTCAAATGGTAATCTATCCTGGAGAGCAAATATATATAAAAGGCAAACATTCAATTTAAAATATTCTAATGTAGGTTTTTTCCTTCTTTTGTAGGATTTGACAGGGTTCCAGTGAGCATGAAAACACTGGTCCTTACAAAGTACGCTTTCCTCCATTAGAATATAGATCACTTAGACAGCAGACCCAAGGGGGCCAGGCATCGATGAGTTTCTTTATGGCTTTTAAATCACTGAGGTATCAATGTGATAATCATCACTTCTGACGTCATACTTCACTGCTTTCCTATGAAAGCCACATTCAAAAGTGACCCAGCCAGCAGCCTGTGAAGGTAATATTGAAGTGGGGCAGGGGGGAGTAGATGAGGTGCTGCTGCCAAAAAATATAGTCACAGGTGCTCCAAACCCTTGGCACATGATTAGCAGAGGGTGAAACACACTGTGTAGACACTGAGACTCCAGAGGAACAGAAGTTCCTCTGCCCAAAGAGATTCTGCCAGGTCAGCTGATAGGTTGAGCAGCAAGACACTGGACTATGTGCACCAAGGTGGGCAGCGGGAAGGGACAGTGGCATGTGGCATGGAGCAGGCAAAGGAAAGACCTGGAGCTGTCAGCACAGGAAAGAGGGTGGGTAGCTGGCTAGCCACCCTCACATACAATGTGAGACAGTCTATGACACATCCAGGAAGGTGGAATGGACACATCTAGGAAGGAAGGAGACCGGACTAAATGTCAGGATGAGTGACACACTGAATTGCTCAGCTTTTCTACAGAGAAGGAGACAACAGAAAGGAAAAATGCTATTGGTAAAGTCATGTCATATGACTTACTACTTTTATCTCAATCTTTCAACTTGTAAATACCACAAAAAACTGAACTTGCTCCTTACTGAGATGGGTTATAGAGAACCCATTCTCAATGGCTGGATAAATTATATTGGCACAGAAAGGACTGGAAGAAAGTATCATGTCCAAGCACATCCTATCAAAGTTCTTTGCAGGTTGTATGTGATGATTAGACCTCAGAAAATGGCCACAAACCTATGATGGGTCAAGTAGGAATTTCTTCCAATTAGTAATAGTAGAGATATGATTTTAATTGCATAGTCTTTTGTAACCATGAAAAAAAAAAAAAAAATAAGAACCCGATCTTTTCCTGAAGGCCCAAGTTTTCTCCAAGAGCGCCAGGCTAATGACCCTCCCAGCCTTAGCATAGGACCAGCCCAGGGATCAACTGTCCCATTCTCCCACAAGCCATTTTCACAATCACTGAGCACACAAGTCACACATCCCCTAGATCCACAAACTCATCTTCTCGTTTGGCCAGATCCTCTTCATCTTCCAAGGCTTTCCAGCCACTGGTGGGCAAGACCGGCTTAGATGAATGTCGCTGGAGCAAAGCGAAAGGAAATAAAGAGGACAGGCGGGCAGAGTTCCTCAGCAGGCAGGGGGCCTCTGCCTGGAAGGCCTCCTGGCTGTGGTGTCTCTCATCGATTTTCTCTTGTAAGCTCTGGACTTCCTCCATCATTTCCAAGAGTTTGCTCATCGTGGCCACTCTGCCACCACCTGGGATTTGGGCTTCTGGAATCCAGCGCAAGTAGCGCTGGGCCCAGACTTTGATTTCTGGCCCCTCTACACGAGGCAACAACAAACCATGGTAGTCAGTAGGCTTGCTATGCCAGCTGTCATAAAACTCTCGAAAGTTGTCTTGCAGCTCATCAGAAGAATTAATAAGTTTACTAATTCTCTTGCCCAGAAGGTTTTTAATTAAATGATCTGTCTCTTCCCTGAAAAATCCTCTTTTGGGAGATGACTTCGATTGGGTGAGTGGCAAAGAAAGTTGTCGTTGGTGCTTTGAGAGAAAACAAATAAAAATCTCTGGTTAACAAAAGAGGTAAGTTACAGTTACTGTTATAAAAAAAGGCACAGCTCTGCTTTAACAAATATCAAGAGATATCAGAATTGTCATGTGAATGCATGCTCATTAAAATGCGGTAACATATAGAAAGAAAGAGTGGGTTCTTATTTATTCTCATGATTCAAACATCAGATGCACACTGTACTCTCTATAAAGGTGCATATGGCAGCTATGCAGAAAGCATGCTGGGACAGCAAGTGGTGCTTTCCATCCCCCACCCCCTGGAATAGGGGTACCAAAGGACACAAAGTACTTTTAAGGAATGGGTTTAATTTAAGATAGGTTAATGATTTAGGAGAGTTTAGGGGTGAAGACTAATCATTCTTTAAAGGGAAACAAAATGTTTCTTCTTTGAGAATATCGGGACTGTTAACTGCTACTATATTCTGAACACCTCCAAGGAAGCAGCACTGACAACGTGAAGATTCTATCATATGGCTGCAGCAACTTGGTAGTTTATCAAGCATTTGGCTAGAATTCAAGCCTCAAATCATAAGGATTCTTTTGAACACAGAAAAACAGGCAGACGGAAGCAAAGGAATTTTGCTAAGAGGAACTGACTAAGTTGGCCAGTTGTTCTTGTCTGACATCTGCATAGAGTAGAAAATATGAGAGCATTTAAATGTTTTTCCTCCTTGATAATTCTCTCTACAGCCAAAGCAAGGCGTTATCTTTTGGGGTATGCTCTAAGAGGTAATAAAGATGGCTGAAGTGATCAGAAGGTTCCAGGAACTCCTCAGTGCCCAAGGGAGAAGGTAAAAACTGTCAGGAAAAGCTGTTTTGTTTTTTTTTCCCCTGTCTCTTTTGTTTCTAACATGTTCATTTAAATTAAGAATAGATAAAAAATTTACTTTCATCCTACTTTATAATCTAACATATTTTTGCTAGTGGGTCTTCCTTGTAAAAAAAAATTATCATGGAGCAAAAATTTCCTTATGATAGAATATGGAATAACAATAAAAATATAAAGAAGAAAACAAAATTATCCACAATCCACAACTGACCAGATCAGAAATGACCAGGATGTTTGACTCTGCATCTGGAGATAGGACAGATAAAGGCCAGGAGTCTTTCTCCATAGTCATCAAGGTGAGTAAGGCAGGAAAGGGAGTTGGGGAACGTGGAGGAAACCTGTTACTGATCACTTACTGCCTGCTCAATTCTGTGCTCACTGTTATATGCACTGACTTACCCAATTCTCAAAGTCACTATTATTGCCCCATTTTATAAAAGTAATCTGTCCAAAGCACCAACCACCGTAGTTTTAAACAAGCTTGGCTCCAGAGTCTGCGTTCTTAACTGAACTTACTTGGTCTTGGAAGCCCTCTTCTCTCAGCCTCCTCCTCAGTGAATGGCACATTCAAGATGTGCCTAAGGGGGAGGAGTACCACATGCCCAAAGCCTGGTTGAATACTGGAGTGAAGCTAAGACTACCTGCCTGAGTGAATCCTGCCCCTCATGAGGCAATTCACAGAGCAGTGCTTGATCCTTTACCCTTACATATAGTTACTATGGAACTTCTCTGAGGCCAAGGTCCCAAGGTCCCAAGGTTCCTTGTTGCTCAGCCCCAACTCTGCTTTAATCTAATAAAACGTCTAGCCCTTCAGCACCAATCTCTCCACCAACCTCTCTTGGAAGTGAGGGACACTTAGAAAAACTGGGTCTGAGGAGAGAAATTAAATCCATTCTTAGAAAGAACTGTAGGCCAGGTGCAGTGGCGCACTCCTGTAACCCCAGTAGCTCAGGAGATTGAGACAGGAGGATTGCAAGTTCAAAGACAGTCTCAGAAAAAGCGAAGTGCTAAGCAACTCAGTGAGACTCTGTCTCTAAATAAAATACAAAATAGGGCTGGGGATGTGGCTCAGTAGTGGTACAATCCCAAGTGCCCCTCTCCCCCACAAAAAAAAGATGGTGTTTCTGAGGATCCTTGCTCCAAGGGCATTCAGCAGTTCTACCATCCCAGCCCAGCTCTCACGAGAAGCATGCAGGTAACCACCAGGGGGCACAACACACTGAAGGAAAGATGATTTTTATAGCCACCTTGTTCCTGGGTTTGTAGCAATTTTGGTCAAACTAACAGAAAAGTGGTTGAATCAGAAAAGGGAAGCAATCATCTAGGGCCTGAGGACAACTAAGAGGGTCAAGTGGTAGTTCTAAACTGCACAGCAGAAGACACTTTCTCTGAGTGCTGGCTTTGGTTCATGTCTTAACAGAACAGAACCAATTGAAGTGCAGGCTTCCTGGAATCTCTCATGATCAGGCAGGACTGGAAGGATGGTCACAACAACTTGGATTTATCATCACTGCTATCCATCTCCTCTATGGCTCTACTGGCAAGAGATTCCAGGCCAGACAGAGTTGGAAGTGTGTGAGGATGGTGTAAGGCCTGAGCCTAAGCAACTCCATTTTAAAAACTCCAGTTTGAAACTCCAGTCTCATTAGGCACATCCAACAGATTCCTCCAGTATGGCCTCAGACAAGTTACTTCCCCTCACCCTGATAAACAGAATGAAGCCTCTGGCAGGCTGTCCTTGCCTGATAAGAGAGAAAGGTTAGAAGATCAGGGTGGATACCACCAGACCAGATGTTTCTGACCCCAGGGTAAATTATGTAGTGGTAGCTGATAAGGATTGAAAGGGGGGGGGGGGTGTGTCAAAGCCTCAAAACTTAGTATAAATAATGGAGCTAAAGAATAGGGATTCAGCCAGCCAAAACAAGGATGCACTAGAGCTGGAGAGCCTGATGAGAACCTGGACTGACATCCCATCACTTGTCATCATTTCCTGATCCTCTGCGTGATCCTCACTGCTCTCAAACTCTACTGCCTCATCTGGACCCTGGTGAGAGCTGCAACTTCTCCATACAACCCTTTCCTCAACCAGCCATCCACTCCACACCTGGAAAAGCCTACCTTGGTTCTGGACCTGATCAACGTGGTCTGAGTAAGTGTGCATCTGCTGGACGTAAAGCCTAAGGCTTGAGACTTTTGAACTTAGCATGCAGAGGGAATGTCTGTCATTAGCCTGTCATGATTAAGTATGTTTGCAGTGCTAAGAATTAATCTAGAATTGTTTGCAGTGTCCTATTGCAGTGCCTAGCATTAAGAATTGTCGTTTTCTTGATTAAGAACCTATAGAGTGGAATTGTATTGAGTAATCTGAGTGAATAAAGCATTGAATGGGGCAAAAGCATGTGGACATTCTTTATTTCTCCCCTTGACTACATACGTCGCAATTTTGCCCCCTTGAGACAAAGTGCCATTTACATAATTTACCAGTGGAGGAATTTTTGAGTAAAATAAAATCAGGAATGAATAACTGAAAGGAAACTAAAGCTTTGACATTGTGGTTGGGCAAAATCTAGTGTGGCACCTGTTTTCATAAATACTGCAACACAGCAAGGCCCATTGGTTTGTGTACTGTTCAGGGCCTCTTTAGTACCATGACAGCAGAGGGTAATTGCAACAGAAACCATATAGCCCTTGACAAAAAATGTAGCCAGCTCCTGGTTTACAGCTACAGCTCATTACCATGTAATGCATGACTTACACTATACAATCAATGTTCCTTTTACCCTACTAGCTACCACAGACGTGGGGTAAAAGGCATGATTCCACGCAGCATGACTAAGGGAATAGCATCCTCAGTGGCCTGCAGCAAACAGCCACTTCTCATCAGGCCAAAGACTACCTGCTAAAAGCAAAGGATTCACGTAGTAGGCCCTAAGGACTTGACCACCACACATCTTGATCCTTTACCCTTACATACAGGGAAATGAAGGGAATTTTGATGTGAACATCTTACTTTAAAACGCATTCCTTTCCGTTGGCCTTTGTCCAGTTTTGACTTTTCCACATAGAGAGGGTTTTTGAGCAACATCTGGGCTTTGGGTTCAAACTGTACAGACCAATCCCACACGGTGAGCAGATTCAAAGGCTTGCTTTGTGTATCTAGGCTTTCTCTACCCTGCCAAAACAAGCACAGGTCACCAAGGCTTCCAGGGAGGACTGAGGAAAGAAAACATGCATTCTCAGAAACAGGCACCAGGAAGGGGGCTCCACCCTGCTCCGTCTGAGGCTGAATGTTCAGGGCACTTCATTTTCCACAGCTCAGGCTATCAGTGCTTACTCACTAAAAGCTCTAGGTGGGGGAGGAAGGTGCAGAGCACACTTCTTTGGGAGGGACCACATATCCCTCTGGGCTAGACACTTTACCAACATCCTTGTAAGGTAGCTATTATTTTTCTAATTTTTTATTTGAGGAAACTGAGGCTCAGAAAACTGAAGTGAACTGCCTGAGATCACAAAGCTAGTGAGTCCCAAGAAACTCAGATTTGATTACTCCCACTTCACTATGGGATTTGGTAGCACTACAATCTCAAACAAACCCTGAGGCCAGAAGGCTGCCTGGAGGCAACTGATTTGTTTAGCACAGCTTCAAGGGCTTTAAGAAGCAAAGTCAGGCTGGCTTTCCTGTTTTGCAGTGTTCAGTATCTGTTCTCCTAGGAACTCCAGGCATGAAGATGAGGGAAGAGAAAGCACCTGGTCTGGAAAAAGAAGAGCTTTTAATTTGGCTTAACCCCTGCTCAAACACTAGCTTCAAATATTTACGATGTAACTTTGGGCTAGTTGCTTATTCTTTGTGTGCCTCAGCTTCCTCAGGGATAATAATATGTAACCCAGAGGGTACTGTAAAGATTAAATCCTTTCCAAGTGTGAGTACCTGGAAAGTACTTAGAACAATGCCTGGCACACAGTCAATGTTAAAAGAAATATTATTTTTTTTAGTATCAATGTTATTGCATCCTATTTGTGAGATGCAGCTTCTTTAATATACAGGTTTCTTAGAGGGACTCTTACCATGTTAGTATCTTTTTGATGAGGTGAATTGAAGAAGAAGGTGCTAAAAATAGGTATGTACAGGCTATCTGACAAGACCGTCAGGTAAGTCTCTGTGAATTCAAATGCTGGGGAATGCTGGTGCACCAGCTGCCAGACACAATCTAAGAAAAGCAGGAACACAGGAACCTACATGAAAACAAGATACAGGTTACTTAGAAGGCACAGAGCTCAACATGAGCTGTAAGGAGCTCACTGTATAGCCATTTCAGCAGCTTTGAAGTAACCACTTCTGAGCCCTATATTCTCTGGGAAACATAGTATGCTCCATTCCATTCCAAAAAATAAACATGCTCAACTGAAACTACATGCTTTCAACTAATAATGGTATTTGGCAGTACCCATCTGTGTCAGACACTTCAAAGATGAAATATGGATCAGCATCACCAGATGAACATTTGCAATTAATTCTGATGACACAAAATAGCAACTTTAAACTCCAATTAAGTGAAATGTTGCCTTCCCCCCCAAAGAATTCCTTGTCCTAGTCCAATAACTGTTCAATGCAAAAATCTGTACTCAGTGATTGTTATTTTAAATTTTGTCAATAAAAAGTTGTATGTTTGTGTGTGTGGGGGGGACTACCACTACCATTACCCACCCACACACCAACTAATAGGGTTGGTGTGAAGAGGCTGGAATGAGAAGCCTTCCTTCTCCATATCAGATGATGAGGGCCCAGAAGACAAAAGGGATGGGAGAGAAGGCAGCAAGAATGAGTTCCTAGCATTTTTTCACAAATGTTTTTCTTAAAAAATTTACAGGCTTCCTTTACTAGCCACTCAGAAGTGAGCCCTTTATTTAGTAGGGACAGTAGTTTCTAAGGTGTTTTATATTTAAAAATGCTATTCTTGATTCACCAATGATTCTGCAAGCTGCATAAGACAAGCTATGTGACAGTCTCTCCCTTCTGGAAGATTAGTGGTGATGAGAGGCTGGTTGCTGAGGTGCTAAGAACCCCTTTTCAGAAACTTTAGTTCACACTTCATTTTAAGCACAATATCACTAAACAGAATGAAAAATATATGAATCTCACTGTATAGTCAGGGAAATGGGCTCATAAATTGTGAGTGACTCTCCAAAGGCTGGGTGAACAGTAGATTAGGTCTTCTCTTGGCTCTTTCCCCACTAAATAGGGTGCCAGTCACTATCCCTTTTCTCAAGATATACAAAATCATATTTTTATTCAGATAATACTAGTTCTATCCTGCTTCATGAGTACCATCAACCTTTCATATTATTTCCCCAAAGTTCCTTCTAAGACTAAAAGATGGTGACTTCTAGTCAGCTCAGTATCACACAGAGGCATACAGACTGGGCCTGAAAGAAACTGCCTGGCCTAGCTAGTAACAGAGGCCTTGGTTTCCCCAGAAACCCACCCAGCTCTGCATGGCAGAAACCATGGCTCTCTATTCCTGCAGCATGCTGTGTCAAACTGCTCTGCACCACAGAGAGACATGCTGTATATCAGAAGTAAGAAAAACCACAAGTCACAATACCAGTACATGTTAGCTCTACGGTGACTTATGAAAGACAATGGGTCCATTTCCATTCTTCCTTCTACCCATCACCAATGAATCAGCCAGGAGAGTCTGTATGGCTGTTGCTTAGACAAGTCAACCTTAATTTGGGGGTGAATTAAAACACTAACTTTCCTGGCACAGATCTGAGGCCATTCACCTAGACACAAGTAGAAGAGGCTGCAGTATAGCCCACACACATCACTGCCAAGGCCCTGGCAATCAGACAGCATTAACTCAAACCTGTACTTTCCTTGGAAGAGGTTTATGTGGTAGGAAAATTTACTTTGTTATCATGTATTTCCTGTAGGAAATCTGCACAACGAATATCTACTTATTGCAAAGATTAACTTGGCAAAATTTGTAGGAGAATCTCTCACTGGGTTATTATATATGTAAGCCGGGTGTGGTGGTGCACGCTTATAATCCCAGTGGCTTGGGAGGCTGAGGCAGCAGGATGGTGAATTCAAAGCCAGCCTCAGCAAAAGTGAGGCACTAAGCAACTCAGTGAGACCGTGTCTCTGATTAAAATATAAAATAGCACTGGGGATGTGACTCAGTGGCCAAGTGTCCCTGAATTCAATCCCTGGCACCCCCTCCTAAAAAAAAAATCAATATTACTCCTACTATAAAATGTATTACATCCTTGCTATACACAACTTAGAAGAGAAGACTCTGAACATGCTTGTCTATATCTTTTCCTTTGGGAAGGGCTTCGATATTGTTTAAAGCATTTAAAGTTACACATGATAATCTGATTCAGTTTTCCTAGTGACTGTGTGTAGCATGTACTTTGTAAGCAGAAACTCTACATCTGAAGAATGGTATTGGTAAGAGACTGGGGAGTTCTCCCTGTGCCTGAAACAGTCTTCAGTGAGGGAACTCACCTCCTCCTTGTCACTCTGGCGGAGATGGTTGCAGCGATCCAAGAAACAGTGGCCACCCATGACCCACTCCTTTTGGATGAGGCTCTGGAAACCAATCTTGGTTCGGCAGTGGGGGTCCATCATCACTTGCACCAGAGAGGAAAGGAGGCAGCAGTGGTCGGAGGCATTTTCCTCTAGGAGGGGCCCAGTAGCAGTGCCAAGAGGAAGGAGGGCATGGAGTGTTAAAAGCTGCAATGCTCTCACCACACAGTTAAAAGCAGGGTTCCCAACACCAATATCTGCTATTAGCACTCAAGTTCTTACTCCCTCCAGGAAACAGGCAATGAAAAAAAAAAAAAACTTGATATTTTCAGACCAAGAGACAAAATGCTTCCAGCTTGTCTAGTACAGGTTCTAGCACACACTGGTGCTAAATATGGGTTTGCTTACTGAATAAATGCAGCCCTGAAAATCCACTTTCAGTATTTGGGTGTTCAGATATACCACATAACCAGAGTGGAATCATCCACATGATGATAACCTGCCAGGCACAAACTGAGTCTGAATTCCTTCCCTCCTAGTGGGGTAAACCCTCAATCACTAAGCTCACTGTCCCAAGGCTTGCTATTTCTCAGACTCACCTTAGAGCTCCTTTCCTCTACTTCTTATTCCTCCTCTAACTCAACTTTGCAGGAAGTTCAAACTTTCTGGACTGTATCAAAATGATCTTATTTTCTGCCTCAAGGTCTTTTCTTTTCTGTTTGAGGAGTGGACTACAGGAGAAATTCTCCTTGGTCCACCTCCATGTGCTCACTTGGAATTCCCTTTACAAAACTCAAATGACTGAAAAGTCCATTTATATACCTGTTTAACATTCATGATTCAGAGCAAATAAAATCATGCATCTATAGCGTTATATTTGTCTTAAAGGATTTTTTAGTACCAGGGATTGAAATCAGAGGCACTCAACCACTGAGCAACATCCCCAGCCCTATTTTGTATTTTATTTAGAGACAGGGTCTCACTGAGTTGCTCAGCACCTTGCTTTTGCTGAGGCTGGCTTTGAACTCATGATCTTCCTGTCTCAGTCTCCCAAGCTGCTGGGATTACAGGCATATATCATTGCACCCGGTTCAACCTGCTTTTTAAAAATGTCCATAAGGGGATGTGAGGGCAATATGGTGTGACATCTGTCACCCCACTGATCACCAGGGTTGATTTGACTGATCTGGCTGGCTAGACTGGTGTCCCCTTCCTCCCTCACCCCTCCATGTGCACCTCTCCTGAAGCTGCACGCTTTGTGGAAGAAGAAAACCTTCCTCTTTGGTCAAGGGTGTATGAGTAGCTGTACTTCCCTGCTAGAACCTCCAAACAAGCTCTCAAAAATGTCCATGAGCAGAATGGTGTGTGTATGATTAAAGAAACAAGGATAAATTTATTATTTTGGGGGGTAGTACTGGGGATTGAACCAAGGGACTCACACGTGCTAAGCAAGAGATTTACCACTGAGTTATAGCCTCAGTCCCCGCCCCACCCCCCGTTTTTTTTTTTTTTTTAATTTTGAGACAGGGTCTTACTAAGTTAGAGCTTTGCCTGACACTTGCGATCCTCTTGCCTTAGTCTGGGATTGCAGATGTATATAGCACTGTGCCCAACTTAACTAAGGATGAACTTCAACTAGGAAGTTACTCCTACTCTTAGCACTTTTTCATCCTGACCCCCATAATCATGAAGTGCCACAGGTCTCGGCTTACACTGGTCTCTTCTAGGAAACAAATCTAAACTACAGGAAGACATGACTTCAATGAAAACACATTTTTGTGCTTATCTTCTAGTGGTGTTTTAATTTAAAACAAGTTTCATTTTTCTTTAACAGTGCTGGGGGTTGAAAGCAGGACCTTATACATGCCAGGCAAGCATGCTATCACTGAGCTACGTCACCAGCCCTACAGGTTTCATTTTTAAGGGAATCTTTCTTCTTGCATTTGAAAGATAATTATATCCTTCTGAGAGATGGGAAGAGGAACTAGACAATGAGACTTCAGAGGAGACAACTCAGAAGTCCATCAAGGAGTGGAGGATATCTCATTTCCATTAGCTAAAGATTCAGATTTCATTTCATGGGACTCTGATTATTGCAGTCTGGCCTTGAGTCCTACATTTCTCAGACTTCCAATCTTCCTCCTTTCACCAGTTATTTGATACTCAAATAATGCTCTTTTTCAGGTCCTTATAAATACTAAGGTAGAAGCACAGAATCTGCACATTGTAGATGCTCAACTCCAAGTTAGTAAGCTAGTATCAGCTGTTCCAGAAGCCACCAGAAGATACATTTTCTAGATTGCTCTTAGAAACTAAGTCCCAACAGTCAAGGAAAGCATCAGAAAAAATGATAAAAGCTTGGATTTATAAAAGCATGAGAAAAAAATTCATATGTAATATAGGACTAGAAGAAACAAAATATTATAAAAACCAAGCTGGGGGCTGGGGTTGTAGCTCAGTGATATAGCACTTGTCTAGCACTGGGTTCAATCCTCAGCACGACAAAAATAAATCAATCAAATAAAGGTATTGTGTCCATCTACAACTAAAAAAACAATACATATATTAAAAAAAAAAAAAAAAAAAAAAAACAAGCTGGACACAGTTGTGTAGTCCCAGCCTCTCTGGAGGCTGCAGCTAGAGGATCAATGAGCTCAGGAGTTTGAGGCCAGCCTGAACAACATACAAAGACATTGTCTCCTAAAATAAAATTTTAAAAAGGTCTTTTAGTTTGAAACAGGATCTCAATAAGTTACTCAAGCTCGTCTCAAACTTGCAATTTTCTTGCTTCAGGCTCCTGTGTTGCTGGGATTACAGGTATGTACCACTGTGCTTGGCTACAACAATCATCCTTGTTACAAATTGGTTTATACTTGCTTTTACACATTCTGAATGTTTATGTCACTGCCCTCATGTTTGCCAAATTAAATCCACTGAGAAAAGGGAAATCACAGCTCACCAACTTTCTATGGAAAGTGTCAAACAGGGGACTGTGTCAAACGGGGGACTGGGGTTGTGGCTCAGCGGTAGAGTGCTTGCCTCACACGTGCGAGACCCTGGGTTCGATTCTCAGCACCACATTAAAAAAATAAAAAGGTGAAATAAAGGTGTTGTGTCCAACCACAACTAAAAAATAAAATTTAAAAAAAAAGTGTCAAACGGATACAAAAATAATAATTAAATCATCTATGAGTCTATGTGAAAGGGATTACCAAAAGACTGTGACTTCAACCCAGTTAATAAAAAAACAAATCCAAAACATTAAGAAATGTGAGCTTTGGTAAAGATAACAAATAATTTCTTCTTGGGTTGTGAATAGATCTGCCAAGTTCCAAGTGAAAGAATTTTATTTTAAACTCTAACTCTGAGGCAAAGGATTCCAAGGTTCAGGAGAAAGACACTGGGAGGATTTCTACAGTAGCTTACTCTCTCATAAGACAATTACAATCCTGTTAAGTTACATACACAAAAAATTGAATCACAAGTGAAATAAAATGGAAAATAATTTTTGTGCTTTAAATATGTTACCTAAAAGAAGAACGTTCATGTTTTGTGCTTCCAGACATTCTATAATCTCTATTGCTTTTTTCAGGCAACGTCTGAATAGGAAAGAGACAAGAAATGAGCATTAGGTCTTGAGTTTGGTACCATGAACAATAAGTTTAGAGATAGCATGAATTGTTCTTCAGTTTTTCTTTTTTCTTTTTTAACACATACCTTTATTTTATTTATGTATTTTTACGTGGTGCTGAGGATATAACCCAGCGCCTCGCACATGCTAGGTGAGCACTCTACCACTGAGCCACAACCCCAGCCCTCTTCAGTTTTTCCTTTCTTCTTTTTTTTTTTAAATATATATATTTTAGTTTTAGATGGACACAATATCTTTATTCTATTTTATGTGGTGCTGAGGATAGAACCCAGTGCCTCACGCATGCCAGGTGAGCACGCTACCACTTGAGCCACAGTTTTTTCTTTATTCATGAAAATAAAAATTAAAAAAAATACTTAACATTTACATATTCAGATAGTGAGAGATGTTTATCTGCTTATTAGAAACTGAGTCTGGGTGTATATCCAAAGGGATTAGACCAGTTTCTCAGGTATCTGTGCTCCAATGTTCACTGCTGCATTATTCACAATAATCAAGATATGTAAACAACCTAAGAGTTCACTAACAAATGAATGGATAAGTACAATGTGTGTGTGTGTGTGTGTGTGTGTGTGTGTAATGGAATATTATTCAGTACTTTTAAAAAGGGAAATTCCACCATTGTCATACCACGGATGAACCTCGAGGAAATATGTTAAATGAAATAAGCCAGGCACATAAAAACCACACAGCATGACCTTGGTTGTACATGAAATGTAAAAATGCTGAACTCGGGCTGGGGTTGTGGCTCAGTGGTAGAGAGCTTGCCTCGAATGTGTGGGGCAATGGGTTCAATTCTCAACACCACATATAAATAAAAACTAAAGGTCCATCAACAACTAAAATGAATAAAATAAATAGATTAAAAAAAAAAAAAAGCTGAACTCTTACACACAGTAGAATGGTAACTCCAAAGGGATGTGAGTGGAAAAAGTGGAGAGAAGTCAAAGGAATCAGACTTTTAGTTATAAGATAAACAAACCTGGGGGACCTAAAGTACAGCATGATTGGTGATGGATGTGTTCATTTGATTATGGTAATCATCACACAATATATGCCAAATCATCACACAGTGCGTCTTTTAAAAAAACACTGAGTATTTTGATACATACAATCTTTATCAATTAAATACTTAAATATTTAATTCAGAATAGTTAATAAAGAATATTTAATTCAGAAATATTTAATAAAGAAATGGAAAATTTTTTCAGAAGGGAAACCCAAACTAACATAAAAGTGCTCCTAGGCAATTTCTAAACTATAGATTCTTACTGAAAACTTACATCTGAGTCTTCTGATGAGTCCTAGTAAAACCCACAAACATCAATTCCTGGAGAATATGATCCATATTGCTTTATTCAAGGTGAATGTATGAGAGTGTCTGAAAAGATCCAATCTACTCAGAAAGATTTTTTTTTTTTGTAGTTGTACACAATAACTTTTTTTTTTTTAATTTATTTTTATGTGGTACTGAGAATCAAACCCAGGGCCTTGCACATGCGAGGCGAGCGCTCTCTCGCTGAGCTGAGCCATAACCCCAGTCCCAGAAAGATTTATCTCTTTCTATCTGTTATTCCCTTTAGGACTATAGCCACAGCTTGCAGCTTTGATTTGTCCCTACCTTCTAGCTTAGGAGCCATTTAATATATGAATTAGGAAAGGCAACATAACCATCCTCTGGGACTCTTAACCTAATTCCAAAACCAAAAATGACTAAATGACATTAACCATGGTTTAAAAAAAAATTTAAGTGGGTCATATACATATGACACAAAATTCAAAAAAGTATTTAGTGAAGTCAGTATCCTTCCTATTTTCATTCTCCAGTTTCCTCCTGGAGGGCAGCACTGTAGTCTCAATTATAATTTTGCATTATCACACCCTTTATTGTAGTCTTTCTATAGAGTCTATTTCTTTGTAAGCAGGTAACATGTTGGTAAGTTCTGTCAAATGTGCACAGAAATAATAAATATAAAATGTAAAATCCAGCCAAGCCCTGAATAGAACATATGGTCTAAGAATATTTAATTGTGAAATATCAAAGAGTTAAATTATTTGTCAATTAGCTCTACTACTCTGAATTAGACATCTGAAATTCATGAGCAAAACAATGGTTTGGAATACCTGATTATGTCAAGCCAGCTGCTATTTTCCAAAAGTGAAAACCATTTTATGTCTGTGTCCCAAAATTCAGTACTGTTATCTGAAAAAAGGAAAAGCATAAAGATGTTACACTTGCCACAAAACACCTGTTATTCCACTGTGCTGTTCAGATCATTGGTCCTAGACTCAACCTGCAAAATCCAGGCACGAGACTCTATTTTAAGTAAAGAACATTTCCGAACTTCAGCTGAAACAGTTTATGAAATGTAGGCCTCAAGAAGGGTGTGGTTGTCAAGAAGAGGTCTTCCTTGCTGAAATAAGAAAAGCCTCTACCACATACTCAAAGCCATGGTCTACCCTATAATTCAACTGAGAGACTGACATGCTTTAGGCAGAAACAAGTGACATGGAGGCTGCTATTCCTAGAAGTGGAAAATGCAACCAGATCTATATTGCCATGGACATCTAAGGTGAGACTTGACTTTTCTAAGAAATTTAAATACAAGTTCATGTACCTTGCACACCACTGTAGGATTCCCCCTTACACATCTTATAAAGCAGAAAATCTTGAATTTTAATACACTTAAAATAAATTTAATACATTTAAAAGTTGCAAACTCAAATCAGTAAAGAGAAGATATTCTGGAAATCCTGGGTAATTAAAATAAAACTGTAGAATCTCAGTCCTGGATCAAATAGGACCTTGCCTCCAGATCTCTACTTCTTACAATCTGTTTTATAACATGTATCACAACATGTTTTAGTTAGAGGCATATACTTCTGTTTCCCCTGTAAGAGTATGAGCTTTTGTGTTACATTCGCCTTGGGTAAATGCTTAGCAAAGTTAGTATATACAATGGAAATTCAATAAATGACAGCTGAGTAAATCCTAAAATAGTTAACCATTTGTCAGGTTAAAAAGTCCAAGTTAGGAAAAGTTACCTTTAAGCAAGCACACCTCAGAGAGTAAAGACTCATTCAAGAATGGAGAGAAATGAGACTAGTTCTAATTGTTACTAGCAGACTATGAGAGTAGGGAAATTGCCAAGGGAGGCTGGAATAAGCGTATTTCATTTTTTACTCTGTACATTTCTGATTAATTGTATTGAAATTAATTTTCATCCTAAGAAACTGTACATGCCTAATCAGGAAAGAAATATTAAAAATATGTCCCCTTTGGGAAAAAAGTTCCCTAAGGAAAAAAGATCATTCACTTTATAAATGTTTATGCATATTAGTGATTAATAGGTAATGCATAGTCCAGAATTTTAAGTAGAGAAGCCAAAATGCTCACCACTGAGCAACCTGGTATGCTGGGAAAGAAGAGAGGAGAAGAATGCCTGTGTGATCACTGCCACAACAGGGGGGCCATGGAAGAAAAGCCTGGAGAGAGATGTTCTGCATGCAGCATGGCAGTGGCAGCTGGCCCCTTGGCTATTGACTCTTCCACTACATGATAGTGACCTTCGAGGCTAGGAGCATCTGTGTATCACCAAAAGGAACCCAGGGGAAAGGTACCAACTTGCAGCTGATCCATGTGGCATGTCTTTCCCCATTTGACAGAAAGTTTTGTTCAACACTCTTCTCACCTATCAGAAATAGCTGTTTAAATTTAGAGTATGCCGTCTGGATTTCCTGCAAGGATATGAAGTTGCTTGATAGATCTTCAGTTTTAACCATTTCATAGGGTGGCCTATGGATGATCTTGTAAATTCTAGGTATGAAAAAGTAACATGAAATTAGAAGAGCTACATGAATTAAAAGAGATTATATTTCCTAAGCAATTACTATGTGCCCCGATATGTTCCAAAAGGTCTGCAGATATCCCACTCCCTACCCTTACCTCTGAGGCAACTGCTGCAGGACTGCTCTCCCCAGTTAACAGTGGGAATGGAGAACCCAAAGTAGAACTGCCCAGCCCAAGGTTATCAAGTTTCTAAATAGATGGGGCCATGATTTGGACCAAGGCAATTTAACTCCAAAGTCCACTTTTTTTGTTTGTTTGTTTTTAATTTATCCACTTTGGATTTTTTTTTTAAATATTTTTTTAGTTGTTGGTAGACCTTTATTTATTTACTTATATGCAGTGCTGAGAATCGAACCCACTGCCTCACACATGCCAGGCAAGTGCGCTACCGCAGAGCCCTAGCCCTAGCCCTCCACTTTGGATTTTCTTTTAAATACCTTTATTTATTTATTTGCTTATTTATTTATTTATTATGTGGTGCTAAGGATCGAACCCAGGGCCTTACACGCGCTAGGCGAGCACTCTGCCACTGAGCCACACCTCAGCCCCTCCACTTCATATTTTCAAATTTATTTTGAAAAATTCCAATCATGTAGAAAAGTAGAAAAAGAACCATAGTGACATATATCATGACCTAGATTTGACAGGTATTAACATTATAGACAATGAGTGAGGGTGGTGGTTCAGTGGTAGAGCACTTACCTAGCATGTATAAGGCCTGGGTTTGCAAACAACAACAACAACAAAAACCAGACACAAAAACGAAACCCAAACATTATAGATACTATGCCACTTCCTCCCTAAATACTTCAGTGTACATCTCTAAAAACAGCATAGTTGACATTCTTTATTTTTTGTCATTTTTATTGCAGTTCTTGGCATTGAACGCAGGGCCCTGTGCATGCTAGGCAAATGCTCTACCATTGAGTGGCATCCCTAGCCCCCATGAAATTTTGATTAGTGATTATGTTATACTGACTAATTAGTGATTATGTTATATTGACTCCTTTTAAAGTAATTAAGAATGACCCCTATAGGTTGTATTTTTCTAACACTAAGCTACCTGTAGGTACACAGAAATGGACACTACTAAGAACTAGTCCCTGCTTCTTAGAAAACAAAAACAGATGAAGAATAAGTACTGACCCATCCGAGACACTCTTCTGGATTTGCAAAACACCATCATCCTGTTCTTTGGGCGGTGCCGACATTTTCAAAAGGGCACTTCCATTGTGGCAGGACCAACACCATATCTGCAGGGGGCAGAAGACATTTGCCAGATGGAACATTCACAACCCAACAGGGAAGAGGTAAGCTTAGCATTCAAGTTCAGCCAGGGAAATTTATCTTTATGAAATAGCTGGATATATTCAATTTTATTAAGTCAGGGAGAATTTATTAAATGAAGAGAACTGATTTAATCTTAAAATGAAACTAAAAAACAAGAATAGGTAGTTACATTCAGACTTGCTTATGGTCTAACATACATCTTTTGACGTGGCACTAAAGTGCTGGTGACCTAGATAATGATGACGACAACATTATTATTAGGATAGAAGCCATCACTAGAGTGCAGCTTACATGTCAGCCATTTTACATGAATTAATTCATTGAATTTTCATGGTAAGTCCCTGTGATGGGTATGATTATTATCCCCATGCACAGCAAGGAACTGAGGCTCAGGGAGACAAAGGATTTCCCCAAGACATGGAAAAAGTAGCTGCAGTATAACTAAAGGTGATGCTTTACCTTGATGGCAAATTGAGGGATCTTCCAATATCAGAGAAAGTTCACAGGAGAAAAACGGAGAGTTGGCTAATCAACACAGTGAATAAAAGACTCACACACGGAAGGCACTGCACCAGGTTGTGAGAGGACAGAAAGGTGATTAAGGGACTGCTCTACTTTTGGAGCCCATACACTCAAAATATGATAGAAGGTAGAACATGGCAGACAAGGGGATGGCAAAGAACAATAGAGGGGAGGCAAGGAATATAGACATTCTATGAATGACCACAAATAATAGGCTAAGGGGTTCCACCTTTTTTCTGGATATTATGAGAGATTTCAATTACTTATTTTGCAGGCATAAAAGGAGATTAGAACTATCTTGGAGCAAAGTAATGTGCCAGTGGAGCCTAGAAGGGAGATAGGAAAAAGCAGGTTGAATAAGTAGGTTCAGCTGCAGTCTCTGCCCTGCATACAGGCCTGACTAACGGCTTAAGAGTGGCTAACATCTGGTCCTTGCTCTGCTGACCAAGTCATCAGCCCTGGATCAACGGTTAACCCAATGAAAGAAATATTTTTGTAACTGGCTGCCTGAGTAGGCACCATTTTGGCTTCTACCCGCACGCATAAACCATTCACTGGTTATGCTAGCAACAGCCTGGGCCAAGAGGTAAAGACCAGCACTACAATCCAGAAAACACTTTGTACTATACTTGGAAAGTCAGAAAGAAGAACTGGTTTGGGGTTTCTGGGGAAGATGATGGGACTGGCACTGTGTGTTGCATGTCTAGTGCCATTAGGACATCCATATGGAGATACTCAGGAGGCTACTGACATGAAGGCTCTGAGTATAAGACAGGAAAGCAGGACTGGAGTGCTGGACAAGATAACTGATGGCCAGCTAAAGTGCAAAAGATGACAAGTCCACCAGGAGAGCAAGGACACAGAAACACAGAACTGCTTTAGGAACTGCCAAAAAGAGCAATAACTCCCAAGAGCTAAACCATACTTTAAGACTCACATGCAGTGGAAGTATTAGAACACTATGACAAATTCAAGGGACATTTGCTCTTCTCTTAGTCCCTTTTCCAATGTCATGCTAAGCAATGTGCAGAAACCACCACACAGATCTAGGGCCTCTGTGAAAGGTGGGGATATTCTTAATGCTCAAGGAGTCATGACCCCTAATTGGTACAACTCACTCAGACATAAAGGAGTGTACTCTTAGTCATGACTGGATGATGGGATCTAAGAAATTAAAGTTTACCTCCCTTCCTGGGGCAAAACCAGTAGGCCCTTGGTGTCATCCAACCACATTTCATTTTCTAGTTGGGACATGTGTAATGATAACCTCCAATCATAATTACCTTATCTTATCTGAGCTACAAAGAGGTACCTATTCTTTATTTGAAAGATTAAGTAGAAAGGAGTGAAATTCCTGGTCAGAGAGACTTCTCAGGAATTTAGCAAAAAGTCTTCTCCTATCATTATAATATGTACAGCTTCTCTTGGGAAAGAGCCACAGAGTTCTTAGTACTAATTACTTAACAACAGGCAAGAATCAATTTATTGATAACATTTATTTCCTAAAGGAAGAATTACTTGTTACTTGTTTTTTTGGGTGCATTTTAAGGTGTCTCTCTGTAGAGTCAAAGAGCTTTAGAGTAACACCTATAATCCCAGGTTAGAAAATAGTGCAGTAAGAGGACCAAGATAGTACTGTATTTCCAAAGTCAGGACTGGAATTTTAAAAAGGCAGGACATAATTAGTCAAAAACTGCAACAATGTTATAGAGAGGTGGGGCTGTCCAAAGCTCAATGTCTTCTGAGAGGGTAGTGTCCAAGTGGAGGAAGAAGTCGCCTTGTAAGAAGAAATAGCAGCTGGTGGGCGTGAGTGTGTGTGTGTGTGTGTGTCTCTCTCTCTCTCTCTCTCTCTCTCTCAGTAGTAGAGTGTGTGTATGTCTAAGTAGTAGTGTGTGTGTGTCTCAACAGTAGAGTGTGTGTTTAGCATGTGTGCAGCCCTGAATTTGATCACTAACACCCCAACCAAAAAAAAAAAAAAAAAAAAAAGAAAAAAAAGGAGTAGGAAAAAAAACAAGTATAGACTGTTTACATATACTGGGAAGTATAGGAAAGAACAAAGTAGTAGCTTCACTGTTAAGAAAGGGCTTTCTTAGAAGAGACTTAAAGATGTCTTGAGAGAGAGAAAGAGAGAGAGATAAAGAACATGCTTTAGAAATATAATGGAAAAGGGAAGGCTGATGATGGAATCAGGCTCCAGACAAGGCAACCAATATTGCTGGCAGAGGTTCAGATTTGGTGCGAAGGAAGCAGGAGCACAGAGAAACAACAGGAGGTCAGAATAAGGAAGCTGTGGGAGTCTCAGGTCCCACTATAGTAGGGGAAAGGCTATAGCTGAGAGTATAAGAATTAACAATGATTTTACAAACGAAATGAAAACGTGTTTACTCAGGAAAGTATGATACAGGAACCACATCAGGGCCTGAGCAGGACAAGGACCAGCAGGGGCAAGGATGCCTACAGTTTTCATGAATCCCATTAAGCACAGTCTGCTATTTGGTTTGAATAATCTATAGAAACATTCTTTGCCTCAGAGCAAAAATTAAAAAAAGATAAAAAAAAAAAAAAAAAAAACACCTCAGGGCTGGAGACTAGAGGAGGGTCAAGGAGGCCAAAATCTCTAAAATGGTAGCAAGAATTTGAATGAACAGACAAATTATGCAGGTCATGGCTTTAGAGGTATATGTGAAGGTAGGAAGGAACAGACTAGATGCAAAGCCAAAACAAAAAAGCATGGAGATACGGAAATGTTCTGGAACTAGATCAATGTCACGATCACACAACATTGTGAATATACTAGGTAATATGTATCTTTTTTTTTAATATTTATTTTTATGTAGTGCTGAGGATCGAACCCAGGGCCCTGCATGTGCCAGGCAAGCACTCTACCACTGAGCCACAACCCCATGTGTATCTAACACAACAAAAAAACAAACCCTATGAATGGTACTGTAGGCCCTTCACAGTTTAGGCCCAAATCATCTCTTTACTCTTGCTATTCTCTGATGCTCCTATTGCATATAACTGCTGCTATTATTTTTGTTGATGTGATAGTCCTGGGGATTGAGGTCAGGGGCACTTTACCACTGAGCTACATCCACAGTCATTTTTATTTTTTTATTTTGAAACAGGGTTTCACTAAATTGTGGAGGCTAGCCTGGAACCTGTAATCCTCCTGCCTCACATATGTGCCACCTCACCCAGCTTAACTGCTACTATTGATGTACGTGTTTACTTACCAAATCCTGGAGGAAATGTTATATAACATTATAGATCAGTGGCTTTCAAACTTTTTGGTCTTATTCCTTTAATAGTCTTAAAAATTATTTAGAACCCAAAGACTTTGTATTTGTGTGGATTATAGCTATTTATATTTAACACACTAGAAATTAAAACTGAAAGACTTTAAAATATTAATTCATTTTAAAACAATAATAAACCGATTGCATGTTGGTATAAATAACATTACACACACACACATACACACACACAGAGTTAGAGAAGTGGCATTTGTTGAGTGTAGTAGTTTATGCCTATGATTTTGCTACTCAAAAGGCTGAGGCGGGAGGACTACAAGTTACCCTGCCTGGGTAAATTAGTATAATCCTATCTCAAAAAAAAAAAAAAAAAAAAGCGATAGGGGTGAGTAGTTCAATGGTAAAGTGCTTGCCTAGCATGGGTGAGGCCCCAGGTTCCATCTCCAACACCAGTCCACCAAAAAACAAAACAAAACAAAGTAGCATTGTTTTATATTTTTGCAAACCTCTTCCTTTGCTTTAACATAACCTTAACTGTGTTATCTACTCAACAACAACCAAGAACAAAGGAACACAGTACAAATAGACAGTAGGCTTAATAGAAATGAGAAGGAAAGACAAAGAGGATGCTTATGAATCCTCATGCTACTAACGGTCATATTTTCTATCTGGTGAGATATATGCTAATTAACCAAGAAAAAACTAATATAGATCATTCTATCTGGTGAGACATATGCTAATTAACCAAGAAAAAACTAATATAGATCACCTTAAGGCAGAATTTTCAACCTGTGTTTGCCCCACAAGGGAAATTTGGCAATATCTGGACATACTTTGGTTGTCAGCAATGACGTTAACTATTCTATAATGATAACCCTGAAACAAATAATTAGCTGGCCTAAAATATCAGTAGTGTCTAAATTGAGAAATTACGCCTTAAACAAAACAAAGAGCAAGTGGCCCCAGATTGCAATACTGATAATTTTAAAGGAACATTTGAAAGGTTTGGTTTTTCTAGGTTAAGGTACATAATTTCATCAATTCTAAATATAAAACACATTGCTTTCTAATTCGTCTGAGGTCATTTTTGGTGATCTTCCTATTCTAGTCAAATGAAAGTCTGAGAGAGAGAGAGAGAGAGAGAGCGCGAGCGCGCGCGAGAGAGCGAGCGAGCCAGCAAGGGAGGAATGATAACCTACACACATAATCCCAGAAACTCAAGAGGCTGAGGAGGGAGCTCCGTGGTAGAGCATCCCTGGGTTCAATACCCAGTGGAAGGCAGGCAGGTAGTTAGGTAGGCAGGCAAGCTGGGGTATAGCAAGCACAAGGTCTTGGGTTTCATCCTCAGCACTGTAATGGGTAGTGGGAGAGGGAAAGAGAGAGAGAAGAAGGGAGGGAGGCAGAGAGAGAGAGAGAAGGCGGGGAAGACTGACTGAAAGCTCTGTGTTCCCCTGGATAGATGTGTACATTCCATCTTGTATATAATTTTTCTGCTTCTATTCATACAAACTCAACTAATGATTTTCAGAATATACAATTAAAGTAGAACTAATGATTAAAAAGTTGGTGTTCCTCACTTAGGTTTTACAAGAACATATTCTACTTCTCAACCCTTAGGCTTGGCTAGAACACAGTGTATGTAAATCTACATATATGGATAATTCTTTTTTTTTTTTGTAACATTGAATCCAAGGATACTTAACCACAAAGCCACATCCCCAGCCCTTTTTATTTTCTACTTTGAGACAGGGTCTCATTAAGTTGCTTAGAATCTTGCTATATAGCTGAGGCTGGCTTTGAATTTGCAATTCTCCTGCCTCAGCCTCCCCAGCCCCTGGGATTACAGGAATGTGCCACTGCACCTGGCGACAATTCATCTTTGTTTCTTCCAACAGAACACTTTCTTATCTAGGTTACTCTGAGAGAGGCTAATCATTCCTCTAAGACTCTGATTTTCAGTATCTAACTGGGAGGTCCCAAAACCCTTTCAGGTGGTCTGAGAGGCCACAACCATTTTCATAATAATCCTAACAATATAATGTCTTTTCCATGGTGCTGACATCTGCACAAATGATGCAAATGTAGTGGTAGCAATGTGTTTTGTATTTGGAATTGATGAACTTACGTACCTTACTGAAATGATACAAATGTAGTGGTGGCTTAGCACCAATCAAGGAAGGGCCACACAACTGTAGTGGTTGTCACTGTGTTCTTCATCGATAAAATTAGCAGGAAAGAAATATGATTCTTTTGAGATTGTCCTTAATGAAGGATTAACAATTATTATTTTTATTAATGTTGACCACCACATGTATTTTAAATATTCTGTGTGCAAGAATGGGAAGTAAGCATTGAAGTTAAATTATTTATCCCAAGAAAAATCTCTTTTATAACTGAGTTGAGAACTGAACTCGTAACCTCTTTTAAACAAATCATGGGTGTTCTGACTTTGGTATCTGGCAGATATTCATTTTTAAAAAATGAATAAAGTGGCCAGGCGTGGTGTGCACACCTGTAATTCCAGCAGCTTGGGAGGCTGAGAAAGGAGGATTTCAAGTTTAAAAGTCAGCCTCAGTAAAAGCAAGACTGCTAAGCAACTCAGTGAGACCCTGACTCTAAATAGAATACAAAATAGGGCCGGTGATGTGATTCAGTGGTCAGGTGCCCTTGAGTTCAATCCCAGTACCAAAAAAAAAAAAAAGAATAAAGTGAGTTTATTACTTCATGGGTGGGAAAAAACGGATAATCTACTGTAAATGATAACAATTACAGTTTTGGAAAACTAGTACCTGCTACTTTTGCTGGGCAGATTCCCAACATTTAAAGACTCTTCTGAAGAGACCACAGTATTAATGAATAAGATTTTAAAAAAATTTTATAATAAAATGTGTCAATAGATAGGAGTTCTTTATAACCTATGAACCCATATTTTCCAAATGGTCAGGATACACTAGTACAAAATTATGCACGTTTTAAGATCCACTCAAAATGTAAGACAGACCAAAGGTTTTAATTTAACAGAGAATGGAAAGTTCATTATGTTTTCAGATAAGTTATTGCAAATAACCTTTATGAAATTTTCACTTGCCAACTTTTTGGTGTACCATCAGAGAATAATATTCTCAATTAGGCTGTTAAGTATTCTCTAAAAAGGCTATTAAATATTCCTTTCTTTTCCAAATACACAGCCGTGTGAAGCTGAATTTTCTTCATGTACTTCAATCAAAGCCCCAAATTACCACAACAGACTGAAAAAAAGAATCAGATATTAGAATCTAGCTGTCTTCTATTTTCAAGAATGTAAAATAATGTTATTCAAATTTACTATTTTGAATAGTTATTTTTCATAGAAATATGTTATTTATGCTAACATGTAATGTTACTTAACTTTTTCTTTTTTTGTGGTACTGGGGATTGAACCCAGAGACTCATAAATGTCAGATAAGCACATCTGCCACTGACCTATATATCCCCAGCCCCTTTTTATTTTATTTTTGTGGTACTAGAAATTGAACCCAGGGGCACTCTACCACTGAGCTACATCCCCAATCCTTTTTATTTTATTCTGAGATGGTCTAAGTTTTCCAGGCTGGCCTCAAACTTGTGGTCCTTATGCCTCAGCTTCCTAAGTAGCTTGGATTACAGGCATGTGCTACCATGCATTGCTGTTACTTAAATTAAAAAGAAAAATTAGTCTAAATTTTTATATGATAAGTACCAACGGTTACAACCCATATAAACAACAGCTCTTAGAGAAAACTTTGATACTTTCTAAGAGTATAAAGATTCTGAGACCAGAAAGTTTGGGAACTGCTGCCCAAATTGCCCACAGGTTGCAAGTTGGTGGAATGTATTTCAACTTTAGCCCAAACACATGTTTTTTAAGTTTTTGGATCAGTTGTATATATTTTGAGATAAGAAAAATGCACATGGAAATTGTATCTTCTGGCTATCCCTAAAAAATCAAGACATCTGGCAACACTCAGCTCATTTTCCCACACGGTACAGACGAGCTGGTGCTGAAGAGCTGCACCCTTGCACCGAGCAGAGGGGACACTGTTCATTGTAGGGGCCTTGCTCAGTACCTGCCTGGCCTCCATGGGCTTCTGAGCATGTAATGTTGCTTCGCCACCTTGCTTTCCACCCAGAATTGATCCTTTTGGTGAACCAGCCATGTACATAGCATACCATTTATTTATAAATTCTCATTCCTTACTAAATTCCCCACAGGCTTGGCAACTCCCAACCACCAACTAGAAATGGGGATGACTGCCAGAGTCTTGCCTTCTTTGATCAGTGACCCATTAAATATGGCTCCCATCCCATTCTATTCAGTAAAAACTAAGAAATGTTGTCTCTAGGAGAAGACACCACCATGCCCATACTGTGCCAACCAAAAAGAATCTGAAATTTTACTACCCTTAGAGTGGTCAGCTCAGGTTCAAAATGACTTAACGTGTTAAACCAGGTTTGCTTTCAAAAGCAGACAAATCTGTAATCCTCTTAAAGCTTTTCAATGTCTTTTCTAAAACTCAAGTGTATTTATGAAAACTTCAGAACTCTATCCCACAGAGCCTCATGTTTAAGAGACTCTTCTAGGGAGTTCTTATGGTATTTTTGGATCACTCTTTGACTGAGGACAAACTCCTGAGTACCAAAGCCAAGAGCTTTAAGTAGGATCATTTTACTAGGATGGGCCAATGAGCAACCCATGTCTCTTCAGGATTTCAGATACACTTACTGGTATGTTGTGACCCTGAAAGCGTTGCACATCCTCTTCAAGAAGAGGGGTAGGGACAACAAAGTATGCTGGCAACCTAGAAAAAAGGGATATCATCAGACTTTAGTACTATACATGATTTACAAAATATGAAAGCTCAATTTCAATGAATATAAGAAAGCTAAACAGAGTGTTATAAAATTGACCATATCTCCCTGTTAAGAAGAATCAGCTCAGATGAACTGCCATTCTGTTTGGTATAAAGTACTATGACCAAATTACTAGTTCTAATCCTAGCTCTGAATCCAATTCTGCATAATGTTGGGTAATTATACACCTCTCTAGGTTGATTACCTTTTCCATAAAATGACGGGACTGGAAAATATGATATCTAAACACACATGAATTTCAAAAATGGAATAATTTTCCTTTCATAGTAACAATATAATATATATAGTAACAATATAAATACTTATGTTGCTTTTAGTTAAATATGAAAACCTGTAATGATGATGACATCAAGTGCTCTAATAACAAACATTTGAGTACTAGACACTGCTGTAATATATATGAATGTGAATGTATATATATCCATGTGTGTGTATATGTGTGTACATATACACACACATATATACATACACACACATTACATACATAAATATGTACAATGGTTCTGGGAATTGAACCCAGGAGCACTTTACCACTAAGACACATCCCTAGACCTTTTTATTTTTAATTTTGAGAGAGAGTCTCACTTTGTTGCTTAGGGACTTACTAAATTGCTGACGCTAGCTGAACTTGCGATCCTTCTGCCTCAGCCGCCCAACTCACTGGGATTATAGGCGTGTGTCAATGTGTCCAGCTCCCAGGGCCTTGAACACACACTTGGTCAAGCATGCTACTACTGAACTACTTCCCTAGAACACTCTCCGCCCCGCACTTTTTTGAGACAGGATCTAGGTGAGCTATTTAAGCTGGCCTCAAACTTGTAGTCCTTGCTGCCTTCAGCCTTTTGAGTACCTGGGACTATAGGTGTAAACCACCATATCCAGTCCCCTGGGTGGTTTTGATGTACAGTAAGCTCTGATAAGCACTGACTGGATGGTAACTTATAACAGGCTGCTGTTTCTCATTCTTCTCAGGACAGTCAACCTGTGGAGTTCTCAGCTCCCTGCTCAGTGGCTCATGCTATAAAACTGGAAGGGGGCCTCCTTCTAAAAATTTGCATTTTTCAGATATTACTGCATTCAAATAATGAGATTAAATATTTTATAGTGCTAGTTCACCAGTTAATTTTCTCTTATAAAAAGACTCTTATCAAAAAAAAAAAAAAAAGTTGGAACCAAGGCTATTAGTCTCCATTTCTCAAGAGAGATGAAGATGACTGCACCCAGTGAGGGATATGGAGAGTGCCCTTACCTGTCCCAGTGAACTCAGGTGGATTCCACAGAGTTTGCTGTGAGACTGCCAATGGATACAAGCAATTAATCCTCCCTCCCTTCCTGCCCCATACTGGAGATAAAACCCCCAGGGCCTTGTGCATGCAAGGCAAGTGTTCTACCACTGAGTCACACTTCCAGATGAAAACAATCTTTGGAATCGGGGGATGAACTCGGGGGCACTCAGCCACTGAACCACATCCCCAGCCCTATTTTTATTTTATTTTATTTAGTGATAGGGTCTCACTGAGTTGTGTAGTGCCTCACTTTAGCTGAGGCTGGCTTTGAACTTGAGATCCTCCTGCCTCAGCCTCCTGAGCAGCTGGGATTATGGGCATGTGCCACTGCACCTGGCTGAAAACAGTCATTTTAGTTATTTGGATGAGTTTAGAATACAAACAAATAGACTTTCTACAGGACAACTTCAGTCATGGGAAACTGAAGGATCCACTCAGGCTCAGCCTGGTTAGGGTGAGGGAATCCCCAGAGCAGTAATGTATCTTCTTGTTCTAGCATCAATTCATAAGTCTTCTGTTGTACATACCCCATAGGGCTGTAAAATTCATATCTCCAAAAAGAGGTGGATTGAAAGGTTTTTTTGTTTTGTTTTGTTTTCCGGGCTGGGATTGTGGCTCAATGGTGGAGTGCTCGCCTAGCAAGGGCGAGACCCAGGTTTGATCCTCACCACCACATAAAAATGAAGGCATTGTGTTGTGTCCATCTACACCTAAAAATAAATATTTTTTAAAAAAGTAAGTTTTTTGTTTGTTTGTTTGTTTTTTTTTTAGGAGAAGACTGAAAAAAAGAGAAGGAACAGACCTGTGGCATTAGAAGGCTCTGACCTTGGGAAAGGTGAAATGGCCCCCAAAGTTTCTCTTTCTTTTTTTTTTTTTTTTTTTGGTGTGTGTGTGTGTATGTATGGAGCTGAGGATCAAACTCAGGGTTTCACGTATGTGAAGCAAGCACTCTACTACTGAACCATATCCCTATCCCCTGAATGTCTCACTCTTATTCAAACTGACTGGAGTCCATTCCCCTAATAAGACTTACATTAATACATTCAGTTTTTCCTATTTATGGAGCATGTCTCAGAAGCCAGACACTGTACTTTGCACTGATAAAATGATAAGCAAAAACAGTATATCCTTGATTTCATAGACTTATAGGCTGTAGAAATAAACATTAACCAAATGATGATACATATAAAAACCAATTTGCAGTTGCAAAAAGTGCTATGAGGGGTACAGTGTAATGAAAGTTCTTGCAAGCAGCCCTGACCTAGTCTTGGAAGGCTCTTTAAAAGAGTGGCACGGAGCTGAGATTTGATCAATTAAGTGGGGTTATCTACCTATGTGCAGTTAGAAGCAAAGGTGCTTCCAGGCAGGAAGGAGATGGTGAGTCCAGGCCTGTGGCAAGGCTGTCAGTATGGATGGCGGGGTGTGAAAGAATTGGAGAATTAGGTGGAAGTCAAACCATTATGGGCCCTGGAGTGTTTTATGTTAAGAGTTCTGTTCTATACCAAAACCAGTCGGAAACCACTAAAGCTAGAATAAGTCTGATCAGATGCATATGGAGAGGTTCATTTTACCTGCTATATGAAGAATGAATGCTGGGGAAGGGGTTATGGCCACATAAAAATAAATAAATAAATAAATAAATAAAATAGTATTGGAGGACCAGAGAATATAGGAAAGACCATGGAGGCAACTACTGTAGTGGCATAGGAGAAACAAAGCACAGCCTTTCCTGTATTATGTTGACAGCTGGGGCAGTTCAAGTAGTATGTGTCAGCACTGAGTGCTCAGAGTCTTAAAATCCAGCTAAAGCTCAATTCTCCCCCTTCATCACTAATCATAAAGTGATTTTCCCCTCTGACCTCTTAACCAGGTTTCATTTATTTATTTTTATTTCTTTTGTGTAGTACCAGAGACTGAATCCAGAGCTTCCTGCATGCTAGGCAAGCAATCTACCACTGAACTACACTCCTAGCCCCAACCAGGTATAGTTTTGAGATGCTGACACCTATGTAAACACCCCAAATCAGTATGTATCTGAATTTAAAAAATAATAATTCAGGGCATTGTGCATGTGGCACATGTCTTGGGAGACTGAGGCAGGAGTTAGAGGCCAGCCTAGGTAACACAGCAAGACCCCATTTTAGAAAACAGTTCTGGGAATGAGGATGCCTTATATTACTACCAACCTCACATTACACCTCTTAGGAACAGGGGTTTCTAACTTCTTTCTGAGTAAGCACTAGCTTTCCCCTTTCAAGCTTTTCACCTGGGAAAGCGGAAGCAGCAGTGTGGGGCCAACAGAGAAGTTCTGGGAGGGTCCTTCAGAGGCCTCACACTGTCACCACAAACTGCGTTGTTGGGTGTCACCTGATAAATGCTTGAGACTGATCAAAATCTAAACTGACCTGCTAAAGAGGCCTATCAGAACGTGAATACAAAAACACTAACAAACAACAATATTTTATGAAATTGTTAGCAGGATGCTAGGGAGTATGCTCCAAAATGATAAGAGTCAGGTTTCTAAAAACAGATTATGCAGAGTCATCCTTTTAAAAAGTAGGTCAGATCACTCCCTGCCTCTGCTCAAACTCCTCCTCACTGTTTTCAGTGTCAGGAAGGATAAATTCTTCTGAAAGTACCCAACCGTTCCCTTTTTTCCCCTCTCCTCACCTCTACTTTTTCCTTCACTTATTCCTCTACTGTCCCTCATCCCCTCACTGCTGCTCACACAGCTCTTGCCTCACTGTTCCTTCCACCTACAACACTTCTCTGCCAGCCACTCTCAAACTCAATCTTTCATTTGCTTCAAGGCTTTGCTCAAAGGTCATTTAATCCTGAGGCCTTCCTGACCAACCATCCCCACCATAACCTCCAGCACTCCCCAGCCCTTTGCCTGATCTATTTATATATATATATAAACTCTCAACTGAGCTACAGCCCCAGCCCAATTTAATTTTTCTAAAATATTTTTTAAATTGTGGATTGACACAATACCTTTATTTTATTTATTTATTTTTATGTGGTGCTGAGGATTGAATCCAGTGCCTCACACATGCCAAATGAGTGCACTATCACTGAGCCAAAACACCAGCTTAATTTTTGTGTGTGTGCGCCAAGGATCGAACATGTGCATTCTAGAAACACACTCTACCACTAAGCCGTACCGCCAGCTCCCTAGCAATTATAATATATGATATTTTACTTCTTTATTATTGTCTTCCTCCCACTAGAAGGAATGCTCCAGGAGGACACAGGTTTTCAGGTGCTTGTTGACTACTATCTTTCTAGTAATTAGGACACTTCTTGGCATATAATAGGCATTCAAACTTTTTGTTGAATGAATAAACAAAGCATTCAATAAAAGGAAATAAAACACATAAATTAAGAAACTCCTTTTTTACACTTAGGTTATAGCACAAAAATGGCAACAATCACAAAAAGATACAAACTCACTTTTGAGTATTTAAGAGGTTTCTTTTAAAATCTAGTGTTGAGGGCTGGGGTTGTGGCTCAGCAGTAGAGCACTTGCCTAGCACATGCAAGGGGTTCGATCCTCAGCACCACATAAAAATAAATAAATAAAATAAAGGTATTATGTCCAACTACAACTAAAAAATAAATATTTTAAAATAAAATCTAGTGTTGAACCTAGCATGCACAAGGCCCTGGGTTTGATCCCTAGCACTGCAAAATAAATAAATAAATAAATAAATAAATAAAAAATAAAAAAATAAAGCTAGTGTTGAGGGGTTCAGGGTACAGTTCAGCAATACAGCAATTACCCAGAATGTGTATGACCCGAGTTCCATCCCAGCACCATGACAAAAATACAAACAAAAGTTTCCAAATCACAGTGACACATGCATGTAATTCCAGCTACTCGGGAAGCTAAGGTAGGAGAATTGCAAATTTGAAGCCAGACTGGGCAACTTAGCAAGACTCTGTTTCAAAATAATTTTTTAAAAGGGTTGGTGCAGCCAATTTGGAAAGCAGTATGGAGATTTCTTGGAAAGCTGGGAATGGAACCACCATTTGACCCAGCTATTCCCCTTCTAGGTCTATTCCCTAAAGACCTAAAAAGAGCATGCTACAGGGTCACTGCTACATCGATGTTCATAGCAGCACAATTCACAATAGCAAGACTGTGGAACCAACCTAGAAGTCCTTCAATAGACGAATGGATAAAAAAAAATGTGGCATTTATACACAATGGAGTATTACTCTGCATTAAAAAATGACAAAATCATAGAATTTGCAGGGAAATGGATGGCATTAGAGCAGATTATGCTAAGTGAAGCTAGCCAATCCCTAAAAAACAAATGCCAAATGTCTTCTTTGATATAAGGAGAGTAACTAAGAACAGAGTAGGAATGAAGAGCATGAGAAGAAGATTAACATTAAACAGGGATGAGAGGTGGGAGGGAAAGGGAGAGAGAAGGGAAATTGCATGGAAATGGAAGGAGACCCTCAGGGTTATACAAAATTTCATACAAGAGGAAGTGAGGGGAAAGGGGAAAATAATACAAGGGGGAGAAATGAATGACAGTAGAGGGGGTAGAGAGAGAAGAGGGGAGGGAAGGGGAGGGGTGGGGGGATAGTAGAGGATAGGAAAGGCAGCAGAATACAACAGACACTAGTATGGCAATATGTAAATCAATGGATGTGTAACTGATGTGATTCTGCAATTTGTATACGGGGTAAAAATGGGAGTTCATAACCCACTTGAATCAAAGTGTGAAATATGATATATCAAGAACTATGTAATGTTTTGAACAACCAACAATAAAAAAATAAAAGGGTTGGGAATGTAGCTTAGTGTTAAGAGTACCCCTGGATTCAATCCCCAATATTGCAAATTAAAATTAAAAACATAAATACATAAAAACATAAACACATAGAAGCTAGTGTTGATTTGAAGAAAAGAATCCCTATACACTGGTAGTGGAAAGTAAAATGGTACAATCATCATGGAAAACAGTCTGGCAATTCCCCCCCAAATTAAACCATAGTTACCATATATTTTGGCAATTCAATTTCTAGATTATATATCACAAAGAATTAAAACCATATATTCATACATACACGAATGTTGTGAAGGCCTAATTTACGAGATGAAAAGTAAAAGTAACCCAAATGTCCATTAACTAATAAAAGGATAAATAAAATGTTGTATATCCATACCATGGAACATTATTTGGCAATAAAAAAGAGTGAAATTCTAACAATATGCTTCAACATGGATGAATTTTGAAAACATTATACTAAATGTAAAAGGCCAGTCATGAAAGACTATATATTATATGATTCCATTTATATGAAATATTCAGAACAGGGAAATCTATAATAGAGACAATAATTAGATTAGTGGTTGCTTAGGGCTGGGGATAGGGAGACGTTCAGAGGAAATATAGTGATTGCTAATGGATGTGAAGATTTTGGGGGGATGATGATGAAAATGTTCTAAAATGGACTGTGATGATGGTTATACAACCCTGTCAATAAATTTAAAAGCACTAAACATTTCAGATGGTTGAATTATATGGCAAGTAGCCAGCAAGGAGAGCTTACCTCTCAGAGATTCTATAGCCTTCATTGACACTCACTGCTTTGTACTTCACATTGCCTTTTGTCCGTTCCAACTCCCAGCACCAGTCCTTAAGTGTGTCAAACATTACTGTCTGGTTCTTGGGATCAGTAGCTAACAAAACAAAATCAAAAAGACAATAAAATCTTTCTTTGAAGCACTGGTATTTTAATTATGTGGAAGTTCATCCTCAGAACCCAATTTCTATCACTAAGCCCATTTTTATCCAAGCAGAACTGACTGCTTAATACTAACCTTATTCCATTTTTTTTAATCTAAGTTAAATTATGACTAAGGTTGTTGTTTTATATTGTAGGAAAGGAATTATTCATATTCCATTTCTTACAAAAGTAATTTATAGCTACATTTTCAGTCATTTGACTATGAGACAATTTATATAAAACAAAAGGATCATGTGAAACAATAGAAGACAGGCTTGCACAAAAGCTAAAGTAATGAAACACTTTTAGTCCTAACAATATGTTCATAAGACAGTAAACTGATTTAAATAGCATGTCAGATTCTTAAATGTAAACTCTTTTTTTAGTTCAAAGATGCAATGCCTATAAGAGGATTGTCTAGAGGACTGTTAACACTTTGTTACTGATGGCCACACACAGACCAAACAGCTATGGTAAGGGTCAGGGCCTGCTTCCAAGGGCCATATGATGGTGACAGGTACTTTTGCTCCTAATGCAGTCCTGACACTAACTGCTAGAACAAAATGCCCGGGAGTACTGCTCTTACAGCCTGGCAGTTGGGTCCTTGGTCTTCTCCTGGGCCATCACAACTTGTTGAAGGTGACATGCACCAAAATAGTCTTTGCATATCTAAAAAACCAACCAAGTCTTCTGGGAAAAACAAAGTGTTTGATAAAATAACCTCCTTGCTCCTTTTAAGAAATGCAGATCATGGCAAAATAATAAGAAAAATGATGATGACAATATTCAATTCTTAGGGCTGGGGATGCAGCTCAGAGGGAGAATGCTAACTTATCATGCTCTAGGTCCTGGGTTTAATTCCCAGCACTGTGAAAACAAAAACCAAACAAAGAATGCTTATATAGGCTGCATGTCCCTTATCTGAAAATCTTCACACCTGATGTGTGACAAGTTGCAGTCAAAACCCAGGGGCACTAAAGATACTGTACTATCTTCATATAAGGTATATTTATGCATTTTGTTTAGACTTGGGTTCTCTCCCCAAGATTATTTCATTATGTATGTGAAAATATTACAAAATCCAAAATACTCCTGATCCTAAGCATTTTGGATAAGGGATATTCAACCTGTACAGCACTATTGTCCCAGAAACTGTTCTGAGCATATTATACTTTTATTAGCTTAATCTTTACAACCTTACAGGATAGGTAATGTAAGAGGTATTTTAATTTCCTTGATGTTACAGATTTTCCTTGATGTTACAGAAAGGGCAGATAACTTGCCTAAGTTACACAGAGCTAGATAATGTAGAACTAGAATTCAAACCCAGGCAGCTGTAAAGGAAATATCCATAATGCATGAATGCAAAAAAAAAAAAAAAAAATCCCAGTAAGTAATAACAATAGTAGGAGTAAGAAAACATTCTTAGCAATACAGTAAAATCTTTCCCTAAAATGCCCTGTCAGAGACATTTAGGACCTTTCATTCAAAACACATTTGTGAATTATGAAGCCAGGGAATAACGAAATATATTCAGTTGGTAAAGCTCCCACCTGTACCCCTACTCAATTAAGAGTAAGCTAATTAGCCAAGTAGCATCTGTCAAATTATAACCTTTACTTAAAAAAAAAAAAAAATGGAGGCTAGAAGGAAGAGAGGAGAAAGATGGAATTAAAATAAAATAAAGATGCCTCAGATCCTGAGTCTCTGGCACAAAAGCCACCAGAAGGTAATGAAACAGCCAGGATCAATCAAGATAAGGGTTTTGGCACGCTGATCAACATGTTGGCTGGCCTGGAAATCATCCTATGTTAAGTCCAGACCTAGAATCAGAATATAAAAGGCTGAATTTAAAAATCTGAGCCCAATAAATGTTTATATGAATTATAATAATAAACAAAAAAGTCATTTTTTTAAATATTTATTTTCTAGTTGTAGTTGGACACGATACCTCTATTTTATTTATTCATTTTTATGTGGTGCTGAGGATCAAACCCAGGGCCTCGCATGTGCTAGGCAAGCACTCTGCCACGGAGCTGCAACCACAGCCGCTCTATTAACTCTTAATGCCTGCACCCTATGTGCCACGCTATTCACACTTTGTGATTCTTCACAAAACTTCAAGGGAAGCATTAACATTGCTGTTTTTAAAATGAGAAAATGGAAGTCCTGAGGGATCACTGTCATTTCCAAGATCACAAAGCCAGAAAGTAGCTGGGCAAGGATTTGAACTCAGATGGGACAGACACCAAAACCTATACCTGTATCATTTCATCTAAATTATCACAGTTCCCAAAATGTAACATGCTCTCTGAGACAGCTACACCTCTGCACTCCTCTAAACCTACCAGATGCTTCTACCATCCTCCACTACTTATTCAGGCACAGCCTTCTCTGATTTTTTGCCCCGCTCAGAGAGGGTGGGTATGTCCATCAGAGGACACATCTCTCAGCTTCTACTCCTATTTGTGCACTCCTTGAGGCAGGGATTAAGTCCTGCTCTCCTCCACGTCTGTATGGGATGTGTCCCACAGCAAGCATTCAATAAATGTTTATTAAATGAGTGGATAGTAACTCTGCAGTCCAGAAAACTTTATATGTTGGTGGATTTTGTTTGTTTTTGTTTTGTTTGACACTGGGGCCTCACACATGCTGGGCAAGTGGTCTACCCTGAGACACATGCCCAGCCCTATACATATGCTTTTAAACAAACCTGCCACTTCCTTGATATGGGATTCAGGATCAGTAAACATCAACTTCATGGTAAGAGTAATGGGCACAGCAAGTGAATAGACTAAGGGAAAATAACTGGAGAATGAAGAAGACAGACATCTACAAAGACATATGCTAGGCATGGCTAATGGTTAATTCAGATGGCCAAAGTTTGTTACTAAATGCAAACTAAGGGCTGGGGATGTGGCTCAAGCAATAACGTGCTCGCCTGGCATGCGTGGGGCGCTGGGTTCAATCTTCAGCACCACATAAAAATAAAATAAAGATGTTGAGTCCACCGAAAACTAAAAAAATAAATATTAAAAAATTCTCTCTCTTTAAAAAAATAAAAATAAAAAAATAAATGTAAACTAAATGGAAAACATTTGGTATTTTAAGTTTTCTCTTAACAAAACAGCTTTCTGAACGGGTTTCCTTATGTACAGATGTCTTATTTCCCTCAAAATATTTGCTATAAAACAAGCTCTGGTTGTTTAAATACTTTCAGGAATGCAGGACATTCTCTAGAATCTTATGAAATGAAATCAAGTATATTTAAAAGAACCCAGGGATAAACGGGGTTATTTTCAAATAAAAAAGAATCCAGGGAAAAATAGGGTTATTTTAAACTTGTTCCAGTTTTGTTTTTTTTTCCTATAGTTTCATACTCCTAGTATAATATATTGATTTTACTTTTCATAAAAAGCAACCAAATAGGGGATGGGGTTGTGGCTCAGAGGAAAGAGCACTCACCTAGCACGTGTGAGGCACTGGGTTTGATCCTCAGCACCACATAAAAATAAAATAAAGGTACTGTTTCCATCTACAACTAAAAAAAATATATATATTTTTTTTAATAAAGCAACTAAACAGCAATCCACTTCAAAAAGCAAGTAAACAAATCTAAAAGGTAAGTTAAACAAAGATCACTGCAAAAGGCAGATGAGTTAACGCATGCCTGTAATCCCAGCAACTTGAAAAACTGAGGCAGGGGGTTGCAAGTTAAAGGCCAACCTCAGTGACTAGCAATGCCCTATAAGTAACTTAGCAAGACCCTGTCTCAAAATAAAAAATATAAAGGGCTGGGATGTGGCTCAGTGGTTAGATGCCCCTGGGGTTCATCTCTAGCACAAAAAAAAAAAAAGAAAAAAGAAAAAAAATCACAGGGAAAAAATATAAACCTTTTGAATGAATCACCCAAGCAATAGATGACCAACTGCTAGAGAAAAGAAAAACAAAAAACAAAAAACCCTCTCGTGTTTACAGATTTTTTTAAAAAGTATAAAGGACACTGTCTATCCTCTAATCAAACCCAGAAGATGCTTACCTGTATTGTTTTGTGCAGCAGTTGCATAGGAAAACAGAAATAATCTCTTAAGAAGTATAGAGGTCTGGGTATGATGAATTATGCCATGGACAATCTAGAAAGAATGGACCAATGGGAATAGTTACAATTTTGACAGGTAAACACTAAGAAAGGTAGGAGCCAAGTTGTCTAGGTTCTCAGTCGTGCTAATGGAGCTCTAGGGTCAACCCAGTAATCCTTGTTAAAGTATGAATCTATAATTTAGTTGTTGGAATAATGCCAGACCAACAGAATACTATTTTGTCAGACTTATTGAGCTCTGAATTTGTAGGGACAAGTTTTTATAATATAGTCAAATTTCTCAAAAACAAAGTGCTAAAAATCTTAAGTGCCCTATTAAAGTCAGGTATTCCAAATATCTGACATGTTGAAGATTTACAGGTGATATCAGATAATAGCCAAGACATTTAGCTGTTCTTTCTGACTCACCTGTGGTCTTTAGAATCTTCTAGAAGATGAAGAAGAACTCAGTCTACTGTGCCTTCTGTTTGTCTACTGTACTAAACAAAATTATGTTTTGATAGATGACTAAAATCAATGTTCTAAGTGAGGATTCCGGATTCTCAGTACATTCTCCATATCTATACCACTCTTTCTCCCCTCAGAATATGTACACAAGTCATGTGTGTCATTCTACCTGAAATACCACACTACCATATGAAAGACAATCAAGCCGTGACCTGGAAGTAAGTGTACATGACTCATTACAGAAAAGACGCACTAGACTCTTGCTAAATCTCCCCTGATGTATGATACTGGCAAATGTGAGATCTTTATAATCTCAATAAGACAAATCTTGGAAGTTATAATGAACACGAAATTGCTACAGCCATTTTTTCAGTTCACTCAGTTATGGATCTCAATTTGCCATGACAACCAGGGAATCATGTTCACAGTCTCCAAAGGCACACCCGGTGACTCGGCTTTGTTCCTCTAACCTTAGCTGTTCTTAGCTGTACCTCCTCCTTTCAAGCACAACCACTACCTCCAGAGTGACTCATTTATTCACAGGAATAGGAAGACAGTGCAACTGTCTTTAGAATAGGTTGTCAAACATAGGGAGGATGGCAATGAGAGACAACTTAAACCTATCCCATCCTTCTCTTTCTCAACTACTTCCTGACCTGGCTTATCACCTCCCATCTTTTAGTGGCTCTAGAAATCAAACCATTATGAATTGAAGGAGTAAAGGTAGCATGTACTAAGATGATATGCAGGCATGCTTTACCAATTACCTCTCACATTCTGAAGAAAGAATATGGGATCCACAGAGTGGGGTGGTGCACACCTGTAATCCCAGTGGCTCTCAAGGCTGAGGTAGGAGGATCACAAGTTCAAAGTCAGCCTCAGCAACTTAGCAAGGCCCTAAGCAACTCAGTGAGACCCTGTCTCAAAATAAAAAATAAAAAGGGTCGGGGATGTTGCTCAATGGTTAAGCGCCCCTGGGTTCAATTCCCAGGATCAAAAAAAAAAAAAGAACACTGGATTCAATTTCACAGAATAAAAGGCTCCCCTCCACCTTCAGTCAATGTAAGCAAAACCTAGAGTCAGTGGGGAAAACCTGAAGGGAAACAAAACCTAAAAACAATTGCGACTAGTTACCCTTTTGACTTCCTCTTCTTTTGTGTATCTCAGACAAAAGTGAAACACTCGGAGGTCTTTGCAGTGGATGATAAGTTTCTCAGGGTATTTCTTCAGTTGTTCAGAGAGAATTTTTTTTTTCTCATCAAACACTATAGATCAACGATGAAATTGGGAAGAAAAATTATGTTATACAACAATAAATTAATGTGAAAACAAGGCAGACTGCTAACTTCTTAGAATAGGCATTCAGACTGTCCCAGCAGGGGCCCTGACTCTGAGAGCACACAGGGTTATTCACTGCCCTGGAGCAAGCATAAGACCCAAATGGACTGGCCACTATTAGCAGAATAGATTTCACTGGCCTGAAGAAAACACAGCTCTGAAAGCTGAGATCATAATGGATGGAAGAAAGAGCACTAGGGACATGCATTTCTGCCAGTCAACCCCTAGGTTTGTACTGAGGCCCCTCCTGACACCTTCTTTCCTGTCCCAGAGCTACCCAGTTAGCACCTATTGGTACTGAGAACATCATAAATAGCTATTAAATAACTTCTGGAAGTGCCCTGAACACAAAAATGGAGAAGAGAAACAGAATGAATTGGCAGGAGAGGCCTGTTTAACCAGCAGAAAAGATATTCTGATGCAATACAACAGACCTTCAAAAATCAGCCTTAAACATGAATATAGAAGGATCAGTACTCCTCTAGCTAAGTAACTCCAAACAAGCTACTTCACATTTCAATTTATCATCCATAAAACTGACTTAAGTAAGGTAATTTATATGAATATATTTTTGTGAACTATAAAGGGCTATAATAATATTATCATCATTACTAACTATATATTCAAAAGCTGACAATAATCCAAGGGAAAAGAGATCCTTACCTCCATAAATCTGATCAACACAGTGGAGTGTAATGTCATTTTCTCCCATAACCTTATTCTTAAACTGAGTTTCCTAAAAGATTCAAAAGGAAATAAATGTGACTCCCTTCTATGCACTGTTAAGACATTTATAAGCAGAGTAAATCACCATTCTCCACTTGCACTTTGAAATAAATGGGGGAATGCATCTGTATATTCCTAAGAAAGGGACAAGTGAGTATGGGAGAAGAGTTTATAAGCACTGATTCTTTCAAACTTGGGCAGACCATGCAATTTCTGGGCTGTTTCCAGGCCCACCACTCCACACAGTCACTTTGAGAAGTATGGGCAAGTGACGTGCAGGTTAATGCTCCTCCACATAAATGCTGAGATGACTGACAAGCTACCTGAGATCTTTGGGAAGAAAACACTGGGAGATTAAAGTTTATGGTGAATGCTATCTTTATAAAGGAAAAGGAATTAAGTCACTACAGTGTACAGCAGCACAAGAGACCAGACTTGGAAGCAGCAACCATGCTGCTATTTAAGAAGCAAGGGAGGAGCCAGGCAGGCTGGCACGAGCCTACAACTACAGCTATTGGGAAGGTGAGGCAGGAGAATGGCAAGATTGAGGCCAGTCTCGGCAACTTAGGAAGAACCTGTCTCAAAACAAAAAGTAAAAAGGGCTAGGGGAGTAGCTTAGTAGTAAAGCAACCCTGTGTTCAGTCCCTAATATTGCAAAAATAAATAAATAAATAAAAGCAAAAACAAAAGGCCAAGGGTGGTCCAGGATGGCCTGCATATTGCGGGCATAGGGCGGGGGCGGGCCTGACTGGGCTTCCATTACCACACAGTGCTCTTCCAGTGTTGCAGACAGTCTTCTCCTTCCCCAGCAGCTCAGTAATAAGTAGGAACAAGTCTCACAAGAATGTTGCCACTAGATTCAGATTAGGCATAAAGTAGACCCAAATTCAAATGCTACACTTGCGATCCATTTCAGTATCGAACTTAGTTTCTAGATTTGAGGAAGAGTTTAGAATAGAGAAAACATGGGGAAGTAGTACATTTGGGACATGTTATTTCAATGATTGGTTGATTTTTTTTTTTTTTTAATATATTGGGGATTGAACCCAGGGGCACTTAACCACTGAGCCACACCCCAATCCCCCCTTTTTTCCTAAAGTTGGATCAGTATTGGTGACCCATAAGTCTCTAAGATTCTAGCCATTCTTTTTTTTTTTTTTTTAATATTTTTTTAGTTGCCAGTGGATTTTACACTTTATTTGTTTATTCATATGTGGTGTTGAGGATCGAACCCAGGGCCTCACACATGCTAGGCAAGCACTCTACCACTGAGCCACAACTCCAGTCCCCGTTTTCTTTTTTTTCTTATTATATTTTTAGTTGTAGATAGACCTTTTATTTTATTTATTTATTTTTACATAGTGTTGAGGCTCAAACCCAGTGCCTCACACATGCGATACGAACACTCCATCACTGAGCCACAGCCCCAAACATTCTTCCCCCAGCTCTCACCTTTTTAAAAATTTTATCTTGTAGTTGTAGATAGACGGACAAAATGCCTTTATTTTATTTGTTTACTTTTATGTGGTGCTAAGGATGGAACCCAGTTCCCCACACATGCTAGGCAAGTGCTCTGCCACTGAGCTATAGCCCCAGTCCTTCTAGCCCTCTTTGTTTTTATTTTGAGACAGGGTCTAAGTTGTTTAGGGCCTTGCTAAGTTGCTGAGGCTGACTTTGAACTGGTAATCCTCCCGTCTCAGCCTCCTGAGTTGCTGGGATTAGAGGGGTGCACCACAAGGCCCAGCTTCAATGAGTGCTAAAATACAGAAGAAAATGAAAAAACACTGATAGTGTCAACTTTTGAGGTTAAAAGCAAGCCAGCATGACATGAGGCATAGGTGGGAAATTTCTGAATGGTCCTACAGCTGAAAACTCCTGAAGGATAGAAAGCAGATAAGTGATGAGACTTCTCTCTTTTGTTTTTATTATGTGTTAGAGTTGGGGTGGAAGAATTGAGAAGCTGAGGGAAGAAACAATGGAGCCATAACTCCATTCCCTCCAAACACAGCTCATACATACACCATTATCCAATGCAGATTCGTCATCGCCTAAGAAGGCAATCTTGAAGTCTGTGCAAACAAGTCTCCCATAGACTCCACGCTGACAGGAATCTTCCTGCACATACTTCAGGACAGTGTTGGCTTCACAAAGCAGCTGTTCACCTGGTGGAAACCAAAACAAGTCCTTCTTAGGGTCCTCAGTTAACACCGTATGCAAACATTAAGAACTTTCTGCACTCTATTTAATGAGGACAAACATAGTACAATGCAGCACTTCAAAATGAGCCACTTTTCGAGAAGGTCAAGAAGTGCAAATTTTAGGAGAGAAGATGAAGCAGAGTATGGAAAACAAAATGGCTCAGATAGAGGCTGGGGACTCAGCTCAGTGGTAGCATGTGTGAGGCCCTGGGTTTGATCCCTAGCACTGGAGGAAAAAAAGAAAGAAAAAAGACTCAGAGGTGTCTCACTACAAATAATGGAAGTTTCCAAATAGGTGGTAATGATTTCAGTTGCACTTTCAAGCATATATTTTAGTGTTTTTATTACTTTGACCCCAGCAGAGGTTCAACAACTGCAATACCCTAAGTGAGCAAAGACTGGAGCAGCTCGCTTGCATGCCTGGATGCAGGTCCCACTCCCTTTTCCTGTGAGAGCTCCAGGATTTCCTCAGACACAAGAGGCACTGCAGCCTTCCACAGCATGACCACCTTGTTTTGGCTGCACACTGGGAGGATGAGAGGAAAAAAAAAGGTCAGAGGCAGTGTGTGTGTGTGTGTGTGTGTGTGTGTGTGTGTGTGGTACTGAGGGGGGGTGAGTTTCCTCTCTTTCTTAGTTGAGAACATTTCCTCTCCAGGTGTCACTTCTCCTGCTCTATCTGCAGGCACCCAGCCAACATGAGAAGCTATATTTCCTAGAGACAGAAATTCTCTTTATAGTTAAAAAGTTAGGACTGGGGTACAGGTAAGCATTCTCTGCTCCATGGAAGCAGAGATACTCATGAGGGCTGAGATGTCTTGGTGAGGGTAGGAAAGAGAAGAAAAAGGGGAAAATGAAAAAACTAAATGTAAATACTCTGCAACAACAACAACAAAAGGAGTATTCTTCTCATTCAGCTATCTTCCCCCAGAATCTCCCTCTGGATTTTTCCATCTTTAAATTTATTTTTTGGGCTGAAAATACATTTTGTCTAGCTTGCAATAAGAAAACAAAGAAGAGGGCTGAGGTTGTGACTCAGTGGTAGAGCACTCACCTAGCATGTGCGAGACCCTGGGTTCCATCCTCAGCACCACATAAAAATAAATAAAATAGAGGTATTGTGTTCTACTACAACTAAAGAATAAATATTTAAAAAAAAAAGAAAGAAAACAAAGAAGAATTTCAGGCACTCAAACAATCCAAGGGCCCATATTACAGTGTTTTCTTTTTTTATCTTTCAAGGGGTTAATTGCCCCTGGCTGAAACACTAAGGAAATATTGGAAGATGGCTCAGTCACTAGGTCAGCCTCTTTAAACAACAGAGTTTAAAGAAAACAATGAAGTCAGGGCCTCTTTAGGGTTTAAAATAGTCGCCTCAAAATGTCACAGCTTAGTTCAAGGTGAAAGACACGTGGGCAAAGTTTCCTGTGCTTCAACTCCTAATGTGCAACAGCTTTTATCAGCGAGGCTCTCCTCAAGACCAGGATAGCCCATTACCAGAGTTTTGTATGGAGCCTAGAAATCAGCAATGTAGTCCTATTACGACCTTCCTGGTGAGACTCTCCACAGACATGGCAAGCTGCACCATGGTTACAAATTGTTTGTACCAGACAAACTCTTGAATCATGAGAGTTGGGAGTTGAAAACGATCTTAGTCTACTTTAGAAAACTGAGACTCAGAGAAGTTAACTGTAAACTCACAGCTGTGCACCTAGAAGAGACCGTCTAGTAAGCCAGGAGAAGGGAGAATATGACACAAAATTTAAAACAAAAGTTAATTTCAGAATCTATAAGTCCAAGAAAAGAAAAAAACAACAGGAGATACGAATCAAGGTTTAAGTCAACATCGTAGAAAAAAAAGCCTTTGAAATTTAAAAACATTAAAAAAAGGTGGAAATGATCAAAATGTTATATGCAAGTACGAATATGCTGTATTAAAGCCCACTATTCTGTAAAATTAAGATGTACTATTAAAAAAAGGAAAAAAGTTAAAGGGTTCTAATATGTTTTACCAAATAACATGGATCAGTCAGAAACTTGTACATATTCACATTCCCTGGACAAACTGGAACAAAGTTTAAAAATACCACAATGGGGTCTCTATTGTTTTGGGAAAATGCACATAAAAATTTATTTAAAAAGTTATTTTGAATTGGGAAAAAATGGAAAAAAGAATACATAGCTGACAGGAATTTCCATAAATGGAGAGGATACTTCACCAAATAGTTTCTGTTCCTGAACTCAAATGTGATAAAACCTAACTTAAGTTACTGCCACTTTTTCCAGTCTCAAAAAAATTCAAGCAATCCATTCATAATGAATGACTCAGAGCAAAGCCCCAGTGGCCCCAGGATTGGTAAACCCCAGTATCCCTAGGACCCACTCTCAGATACACCAGCACAGATGGCAGGTGAGACCATCTACCAACACCTGCCCTGGGAGGCATGGGTAACTGCACTGTCCAAGGGCAGCTACAGACTTGGGCAGCAAGGACTGGGATTTTCCTGACCAGAAACCACAAATACTGGATGGGACCAAGTAAGACAACCTCATTTGCTTGTCAAAGAGGCAAGAATTTCCCAGGTTTATTTTCATCAGCTGGGGGTAAAGGGAAACAAGAAAGATTTTTTTTCCAGATAGTGTAATACTCAGAGTCAAGTGTACAGTTATTGAACTAAAGACCTTGTTATCTTTGTCTACCTCATTACTGTTATATGCCAAAAGATAAAAAACAAAGAAGTTTATATATAGAAAAACTAGGGATGATGTAATTTATCATTGGTTTTGAGTTGCATTGGAAGTATGAGGCTAACATTACTGTTACCTGGCAACAAGTGAAGAGTTACTTCCTTCTCTGTTACTTCCTTTTCGTTTGTGTGAATTTCCTAAAAAAAAAAAAAAAAAAAGAAGAAGGAGAAGGAGAAGAAGAAGAGCAAAGGATAATATTTTTCTTTGTTTAAAGGTTCATAGTAATATAAAGACATGCTTATAGAATACACACTAAACCACAGGAGCTTTATTTGACAAGCTAACTTGTTAACTAAAGGAAGACAGAAAATTCCAAAAAATTAGTGATAATCAAGATATTAAACTAATTATTTAGGATTGATAACTATTAGTTGTCCCAAGCACAAATGCAGGGGTAGGCATCCTTTATGTAAAGGAACAAGTTGAAATACCACATAGCAAAGTAGAGTACACAGAGTCAGAAAGAAAAGACACACTCCAGCAATACTGCTTTCTATCCAGTGAGAATCAAGGATTGAAAGCAAAAGATCATTAGTTCTTGAGAGAAAACTGACATATAAAGGCTTAAAGGCAAAAATAGGAAAATATGACTGTACCTAGTTGGTACAGATCCACTTACTTTATAGCATACTGAGGCTTAGTAGAGAAAGCTAGAATGTTCACTGCCCGCTATTAGTTACCTAAATCCACAAGACAGTGCCAAGGAGCGCAACCACCTAATGGGTAATCAAGAACTTGTTCTGTGACTGTTTCTCAATAAATGTATCTTCAAGTTCCTCTATTTCAGGCTCAGTATTTATTGGATATGCAAAGATAATTAGCAAACTTTAATGAATGATGCTTTCAAAATAATGATCATGAATGGCTATTAAGACAACAAAAAGAGTGATGCAGTAATAAGCCTCCTAATGAAGTCTACCGTACCTCTATGAAGTATTCTTGCCAAAATATCTAATCTCAAACTGCTTGAGCTTTTATGGCAATTTACTAATTAATAAGAAACACTCGGACAAGAAACACATTAAATGCCACCATGGGAACATAATCAGTCCAACCTTAATTGGAAAATTCTATAACACAGGCTGGGCACTGTAGCACATGCCTGTAATCCCAGCAGCTCAGGAGGCTGAGGCAAGAGGATCATAGGTTCAAAACCAGCTTCAGCAAAAGCAAGGTGCTAAACAACTCAATTTAGAGACCCTGTCTCTAAATAAAATACAAAAAAGAGCTGGAGAAGTGGCTCAATTAATGAATGCCCCTGAGTTCAATCCCCCTCCTCCCAAAATTCTATAAAACACAACAAGTTTTGTCAACAAATAAAACTGTATTATTTTATTTTATTTTTGGTAGAAGGATCCAGATATAGTAAGTTTTCTAAATTTGTTAGTTCAGAATGAATTAGAAGAAATTTATATATACTTGAGGCAGGGGGAGATTAGATAGTCCATCTTAAGGCTGCAATAGAATGCCACAACTTTTCCAGGGAACCCATATAGAGCATGGTCTACTGTGGAGGTGACTATGATTTCCATTCCAGGCAATGGCCACAAATCAAGTCCCTTGGGGCAATGCTTCTCAAACTTGGGACATGTTTGGTCATCTGGAAAGCCTGTTACATACACAGACACTCAGACCCACTCTACCACAAGCTTAAGGATGCAGACAGGGCCTTTGGTTTTATAAAAAGCTCCCCTGCTGATTCTGATGCACTGCACTAGGGTTTATACAAGAGGAACTATTACTGCATATGTAAATACTATTGAGTGTTTTTGTAATTTAAAAATTCTCATTGAGAACTTTCATTGTCTGTCATTTGCAAAAAGCAAATTAAAGCACAATTATTTTTGACAGGTTCTACCATCATTATCTGAGAAGAAAGCAAGCTATTCATTAAATTTAGTCAACTGTTGGAAAACTACAGAGATCATCTTGACTAGTTCTTGGAACTCGGTACAAACCCTGGAACCAGCACAGAGAAGACTAGCCTATTGTTAAATCAACAGAAGTATATCTTCCACATTAACTTAAAACTACCTATATTAATTCTTGAAATGTTTAGTGAAACTTTTTCTTTACATTTCAGAAACAAAAATACCCAGAGGTACCTTTTAAGATTCTGTCCTACCCAAAGCTCCCTTTCCCTAAACCACTGGTACCAGCTCTTACAACCCTCTGGAGTGAGACAACTGCACAGAAAACTAACATGGATACTGGTCCCACAGACAGGGGTGATTCACTTTTGTCTTTCCTATTAATTTAGCTGAAGGCTCACAAATCAAGCTGGCTACTTAAATGACAGATTTGTAAACTGAGCCATGAATGTGGGGAAGGAGATAAAGCTGTTCTGCAGAGAATTGGATACACCACTGTCAGACACACAAATAATGGCCTGGATTCCCATGGCTTTCCAGGCTTTTGTAAGGCCCAAGCATACCTTTGGCACAGTTCCATGAGTCATGCCTGTATTGTTATCATAAATTATCTTGTTAGTATAAATTAGCTAGAGTAGGATTCTATTAATTGTCAACAAACATACTGACTTAGGTCAACTGGATTAACAATAAGAAATTAGAGATGATTAGAATCATGTCGTCCAATATGACAATGTACAGTAAGTATATACAGACCTCCAAGGGGAGAATCTAATGTCACAGCTATCATCTCATGAGTAAGACTGGCAGAGAAAAGTCCTCAAAATAGCATCTACTGTCTCAAGTATGTGGGCTCTAGGTGAGGGCATGATGTATGGAGTTTCTAAACAGAAAAGCCCTAATAGGATTTTACCATCATTCAGCTGATCAATACCCCTGTCTGCTACCACCTCGTTCCCATCATGATCCCTGGACGTGGAGGTATACAATGCCCTCCTGCCAAACATACACCAGGCAGAAAGTGACTTTAAAACTTAAAATTTAACAAAAAAAAAAATCCATTTTATTCTTAGCTTTGTAATTTCTAAACTAAAAAAGCAGAACACGCTACACTTCTAAAAGTAGCTGACATTTGTAAATGGTCAGGAAGAAGGTCATTTATAAGTGACAAACTAAATTTAAGGTACTAAGTGTTAGTTTTACCAGGCACCCAAAGGCAAACAGGAGTTTGTAGTCCAGTGAGGAGAACAAACAATACTGACACACCTTCATAATCATATATACAATGGGTACGCTCTAGCAAAGCATGAATATGAGGGTATGGCAGCACAAAAAAGGAGCACCTAACTGTAGTTTAACAGTGGCCAATCTTTTGGGAGTTGTATTTAGCAGAGTTGCTTTAGCTTCCCCTCTCTTTGTCTAGAACTCTAAATTCTAAAGAAAAGTTACACCTAAATGATTAAGATGTTAAGTGTTAAATAATCTTTCTTTAGATTTATAGACCCTAGAACATTTGTTAACCCTTAGATTATCAGAAAGTGTAAAGATGATGCTTAACTTATAGAAAAGTAATATTTGTCTAAATAAGTACAGGAAATAGCTCCAGCAGGTCAAGGTCAATTGCAGTGTTTTAGGCAAAGAAAAAAAGACATTGTGCCCTGGATGATGGGAAGACCCTATTCAGGGAAGACCCTACTCAACACTTAATCTTTCCGCCCATTGTCTGTCCCACTGTACCTCCTAATAAAAGCACTTTTGTGTGCACAAGTTCCCTAAGATGGTGCTTTAGGACAAAAGCCCCCTTCATCTTCTCATTGCCAGTCCTTGACTAAATCTGACTTTCCTTCTTACCAACTCTCATCTACAGAGTACTGGGTTTTGAGCAGTGAACTGACAGACTTGGGTCCAGTAACAGTAAAAATATCAAATGGGATGGAGCGGGTAACTATTCAAGCCAGTCCTTCTAAGAAAATGACACATGTGAATCCAGGTATGGAGACACATGCCTGTAATCCCAGCTACTGTGGAAATTGAGGCAGAAGGATTGCAAGTTTGAAGTCAGCTTTAGCAACTTTGTGAGACTATCTCAAAATGAAAGGGTTGATGATGTAGCTCAATGGTAGAGTACTTGTGTGAAACCCTGAGTTAAATCCAAGAAGAAGGAGAAGAGGAGGAGGAGGAGGAGGAGGAGGAGGAGGAGGAGGAGGAGGAGGCGGCGGCGGCGGCACATGTAGAATGTTCAGAATTTTAATAAATGGACAGAAAGAAGAGGAAAGAAAGGAGAAGTTGTAAATACCTATAAAGGCAGGTAATGTTGCAAGAGAGGTAAGAAATATGGCTGATATAAGCACAGCCTAAAGGAATTTGAGGAGTTTGGGCTTAATCCTGTTGGCAATGGGGAGCAACTGAAGGATTCTAATCAAGGGAGTGAATTAAGCACATATTATTTACTATCTCAAACTTTCAGGAAAAAGCACTGGACTAAATCAGGAACCTGGGTGGCTCCTACTCGACAAAGACACCAGGAAGACCTTGGGCAAGTGTCCCAGTATCAGTGTCCAATCTGGAAGAACAAAATGAAGAGCTGTTCTGCGTACTTTGTGAGGTGATGCACAAGAGAGCTGTGCATGGTTAAAATCACAATATGATTTGAATCTGGGTATCTGTGTTCAGAGGGAGGCAGGGTGCTTGGTGGCTTTCCCTCATTAGAAATGGAAAAGGAAAGCTAGGATTGTAGAGTGCTTGCCTAGCATGAGTGAGGCCCTGGGTTTGACCTTCAGCAAATACTCCCTACCATAAATGAGAGAGAGAGAGAGAGAGAGAGAGAGAGAGAGAGAGAGAGAGAGAGAGAGAGAGAGAGAGAGAGAGAGAAAGAAAGAAAAGAGAAGAAAAGTGGGAAGGGAAGGAAGGAAAGAGCAGGAGAGAAAAGAAATGGGTCTCCATTCTCAACATCCCAGATCAGTCATAGAATGTATGATATTCATCCCTGAGAATACCTGTTACCTGGAGCATTTCCTGAAAGGAAAAAGGAGGAGGCAATGTGACCTTTTCCCACTCACCCTCATTTTATCAGATGCCTCAAAAACACAGTGTACATTTTTCATTTTAGAAGTATTGACTCCTCTTTTTCCCCAGAACAAGGTTAAATATGTTTTAATGTTGGCACTATGCTGCTGACCAAAAATCAATTTGATAGAGAAAAGGGAAAACTCAAAAAGCAGTTAGGTCATCCAGGAGCCAATATTTTATTAAGCATGAGATAATTC